AAAGAGCCAATAGACCACCACAGACGGGGCCCTAAAGGGCTGATGTTCAGCCGGGGTTGCGGGGTAAGCGCAATGAGGTACCGCGACCTCGGCACAGAGCAGGAGAAGGAACAGGGGGGTTTTTAGTCAGTAAGAGTCTGACACTCCCTCCTGCCCGGCCCTGGGCGGGAGAAGTCATTTGATCATTTTCCCCTCACAAAAAAAAAAAAAAAAAAAAAAAAACGGGAAATACCAAAATTAAAAATGATTTTACGAAGCGAAATTTATCTCTGCTTTGTCAAATAAATCCCGACGAATTTCACTTCAAACTGGCACTCTAGTGTTTTTATAACACCAACTTATTAAGTATTTTGCAACGAATTGGTATTTGGCAACCATTAAATCTGGAGCATGCTATGAAGTTTATAACATAACTATCAATGTGTTTATTTCGGGAATGTTTACTTTACTGAACAGAATTATGAAAAAATAATCTACTTCCAAACAAGTAGCGGGCACTATTGAGTACTTATAAACAGTATGTAGCAAAAAATGCCTCAGATGTTTATCTATTATAACTATTAAAATGTACACTATATGTTGATGTAACAAGCCTACTCGTCGATACGGAAGTACACAATAATAATAGAATCAGTTTTTTTGCAGGCTTAACGAACTTGATAGAATTAGAAGTCGGTGAAAACGATTATTTGAATGAGGTGAAAAGCAACACGTTTTCCCCACTCAAGAACTTGAGGGTACTTCACCTCTGCCACAACCGAAATCTGCGATATATCAGCCACAAGGCGTTCCGCGGTTTGAAAGACAAGTGGACCTTGAAAGAAGTGAGTATCACTGTCCCAGCCAGAGTTACGAATGTTACGTTATACATAGATATCAGCATTAGCACGGAAAATCCCCCATATTTTAAGAGTATTGCTAATTCGGCTCGATATAAGATATTGACGAAGCGGAAATAATGTATTCAGATATTTTAATCGAAGCAAATCTTGTTTGGGCGTCATGTATTTTTCTCTTAATGATTAATGTTAGGTTGGTACCTACTAGGGATGACGACACCCGTCTATTATTGTGACTGATATATTCTATTATAAGCTCATGGTAACATGATTTATCAGGATTATTAAATAAACGTGATGATTACCAACATGAATTCGGTAAACGTATCATAACTAATCATCATTTGTAGAATGCATGCAATCCAATTTGCCCCAGTTTTTGAGTGCTTACATGACAGTCGCGGATCGGGGTCAGCTTACTAAGCATTTTAGTGTTGTTTTGATACACAATCAATCATTGCCACATTTATCCTAAAAAATGGAACTTTGTCGACTATGATTATAATCATAATTACGCTAATTAAGACGGACTGATTGATAGCCTGACTGATTTAAGTCTTTCGGCCTGAATCACCTCTGTTCAAGCGCTAGGTCTTTAGTTTCGATCGAGTTAAGTATTCTTAGATTCTTCGATTTGGAAATAATTGTTTGCGCTGGCGAAAAGTGGGTCAACTGTGAACCACTGCCTACAGTGTCGAGGAAAAACAACCATTATTGTTTACATATAGATATTAGATAGATACGAGATATAAATAACGAAAGATTTTTTGATAAAGAACCACACACAAAAACAGCCGATACGGGAAATCCCGTAGTTATGTATAACGCAATTAATCAGATTGTCCTACCTACCTAATTTAGAGTTAATATCGTACAGTATGTTATGATTTGTGAATATAACAAAAATGACAAAAAAACATACGGCTTAGTTGATGATCTAAAATTACTTAATTAAGATACTTCCATGTGCATAAAAGCCCACAGAGGGAGGGAAATGTGGAAGTAATAAATAAAAAAAAATATATTCACGCGAACAGCGTTGTGCGCGATACTTGATAATAAAAAAACACATCCTTAAATTCATTACGAAATAGAATCACTTATTAGAAGCACAATCTCCCCAACTACCAAGACAAAATATGTTAATGCAGGTCATGGTCTATGAATATGCCAAATTTTATATAATTCCATTAGTTTTGCATAAAAGAATAACAAACATCTGCATCTCTTTAGAAAATCAGTTTTTAATATTCTAAAATGTTTCAACATTTCTTCTTAAAATCCTACTGGACATATTTCATAGAACAATGATTTATTCATATAGGTGTACCTGGATAACAACTACCTCAGTGAATTATCCACGGACTTGATGCCATGGAACAAATTGGATATATTAGGAATGACTGGCAACAATTGGCTTTGCAACTGTGAACTGGCCAATATTGTGACTGACCAAGGTGCAGGTGCTAAATTCCAGATTGGAGAGATCCCTTAGTAAGTATATTAAAAATAATTATTACTTACAATTTTTAGGATTAAAATAATGTGTACCGATAATGTGGCTTGCATTTTTGCTGTTACAGTGAGTGGTCCCTAGTTTTTTGTTGAAAAAGAGTTAAGGATCCCTGTAGATTACATTAAATTATATAAAGGTTAAGAGTATCTCACTTTTAATATGAAACTAAAAGAGAACTTAAAAGTTTGTAAGGTTTGCAAATTGTCAGTTCATAAAACTGTTAAGTTATAAGTTCATCAGAATATTTCATCTTTAATGATTGGATCAATGTTGTTCTTGTATGACATTTAAATCACAAGTAAACAGTAACATTTAAATGAAAAAACTATGACTTATGGTCTTAGAATATCTAGTGCCAATTTGTGTTAAGACATTTTTTTTTATTACAGCTGTGCTGCCCCTATGAGGCTCAGTGGAGCATACATAACAAACATCACACTTCCCTACTGCCCTACTTTGAACACAGAATCCAAGAGCACCAGGGGATTCACTTTGTCTAATCTAAAGCCAAAGCATATCTTATACAGCATACTTGCTGTAGCATTGATAGCTTGTTTAGGCATGTTATTAGGCCTTCTTGTCAATGCAGTCAAATCTTTCTACAACAAAAAGATCAAGAGCCAACCAATCCATTATATCAACATAAATTCAGATACCAGTTTTGCATAAAGACACCTTAGTACTTATTAATCAGTAAATTGTATTATATCTTCAATAGAATTATATGGTCAGAAAGTTTTAGATAGTAATGAAAATGTGTAAATAGAAATTGTATTAAATATTTTTGGAAATTATTAATAAATTTTTAAAACACCTTTGTTTTTCTTTTGTTTATTTAAATAAAATAATAAGTCTAGGATACTCACCTCTTTTGGACCAGACAGTGAATTAGCATACTGCACAAACTGTTCCAAAAGTCGTTCAGATTTGTGTGATAATTCTCTGAAGGTATGAAATTCATCAAGTTTGTGTGCACAGCCCCCACATACGACTTGTGGCAGCAAGTCTTCAGGAGAAACCTAAAAATATTATTCACTATATTAGAAATATTTCTAAGTTAGTTTCACAACACCTCAGTCATTAGGAGAGTTGATGTGGCCAGTGACCTTTTGCAAGTATAATCATAGATGATGAGTCATTGGTGGCAATCTGATAACAAATACAAATCCACAAGTTGTTATGGAGGAGAATGCACACTGTGACAAAATGGGAACATGTAGTCCCCCTGCAGATTGATTGCCTTAAAATACAAATCTAAATTTAGATAATACTGAAATCTCAAAATAGCAGGGCATAGCATAACATGGATAAGCACTGTCAAAGAGCATAGGTTTGAGCAGTATATTTGTGGAGGAGTCGAGGCGAAGGCCCGAGGGCCACCGCAGGAGCGGCGCGGGTGTGGGGCGAGCGCGAGGTGGTCTTTGCCGTCCGCGCTCCTTTGTTATCAGCGACGCGGTCGCTGATACAGCGCGCCTGCCATACGCTCGCATATCACTTCCACGAATGACATTAGTCATACGGCCGAGCAATCGACGCGTGGGCCGTAATATGATATCACAATGCGAAAATACCCAACACCCGCGAGAAAGTTAATGGCGCTTATCAGCATCCACAATCTCATACGCTTACGCTAAACTTTCACACGAGAAAACTCATCCTGTTTAATGATCATTTCAAGAAATAATCAAAAAATGTTACCATTATTGACAAATTTGCCATTATCATCTCGGAAAGACGTGATTTATCCTTATCACGATCAAAAATTGGAAGTTTAACATCACTGCAATTATCGCCACAGAATGATAAACAAAGGCGACACACTGAATGGAACTTCGGCGGCAAATTACACATATTTAGAAATTAAAACGGAGAAAAGTATTCACAATGAAAGAAAACATTTAGAAATTAATCAAGTAACTTAATTAAAAATTAAAAGGTTTTGTTGAAAATATAACTCAGCATGCGATGATGTAGAATACATCACATCGCGATTGTCAACCAAACGAACGAACAAGCTACACACACATTGAAAACGTCTATTGTTTACGAAGCTATGTTGTTTTCGTGTGTGTGAACCAAGAAAGTTTGTTCTAGTTTACGCACTGATAAAATGATAACATTATCAAAATGATTTGTATTATCAATATTGTAGAATTATCTGATATTTATTTGGATTTATGAATGAACACTAAGTAAACATCTTATAAATTGTAATTTGTCCAGTTAAAACTAGACAACTACCTTCATTACCCTTGCCCGAATAATCAAATTATAAATTGATCTTATCTTGGTATTTTAATATTAATTTAAATATTATAGAGAACCTGTAAAATAAATTTAAGTTTTTTCTTAGCGTTCAAATAGATATTGTAGCTACTTCGCAATATTGAAATTATTTCTATATGTTTTAGTTTTTAAAGATTTCAAATTATTAAGAATAAAATTCATTTTCAGAGGACTAACTTAAAATTTGTAATTATATTAATTAATACTTTATAAATCATGCTTCTTTCATCCTATTCATATTATTTTTCATGTTGTTATTAGGGCATATCGATTTAGATATCGTCGTTGTTGACGTTGAGAATATCACTGGAATTTTATAATATCTATGCAACAAGAACGTCAACGTCAATGGAATAAGTAAGACTGTCAAGTCAAATACGAAACGAAAGGTTCATTCAATTTCAATTTGTTTTCATTCATGAATTGCGAAGGAACACTGTGAAACTATAAAACATTATTTATTTATTTGTTAAATCGTTATCACGTGCTAAATATTTATAAAGTAGCGTGTCCAAATATCTACCGCGCACGTAGTTTTTTTTAAAGCTTACAGATGTGATGTGAATTGGAAATATCGTCTTTAATTTAAACAATACACCCATTTTCTTTCTTTAGTTTAGTTCATGATTATGATAAAATGAGCCACTCATCGACATCGATTGCTGATGGAACTGCTAGTTCCATTAGCAATGTAGAAACTACATCGGATACAGCTCAATTATTAAGCCATGAAGATGCAAGCACTTCTAATTACACGCAACTCAACAGATCTGTGCCATATGAGGTAAGTACAACATTACAAAAGATATTATAATCATAAATATTTTCAGCCATATGATATAATCGTATCTATTTTTATTTATCTTGTAATTTTATAGTATAACTATTAAGTAACATAGTTTGTTGATATAACTGGCTGCCATATGACCTCTTTGTGTAATCAGCTATTTGTTTAGTATCACTTCTACTTGTTCAAAGTTACAGTTACTTATAAAATGTGCAGGACTCTGACGATGATCAATTCCATGGTAGCCATGGAATTAGAAGGCGACAAGCTCAACAGAAAATTGAACCTGGATCTATGAATGTTCTATCAGCTAAATATGAAGTAAGTGTGTTTAGAAGCTGCTTATTTTAATATTAACAACATGACACTGTGTCAAGACCACTATTTAAAAAAATATATAAAACATTGCTCTTTTATCTATAAACTTTAAAATAAAGGTGGTCCTTTGTTCTCCAATCAATTTACTCAGCTGTGTGTTTATCACAATAGCTGATTATTTAATACAGATAAAAAAGTAAAATAACTACTTTTCCCCTAAAAACTCCTTGGTATATTGTATAAAATTAGAATGTTTCTGTTTCTTAGCTGTACCCAGTCAACTGATGTTTTTTTTTTCAGAGTTTAGACTATGACACATGTGAGAACCATCTACTTCTTGATGAAGAGAGGAAACGAGGGTATGCTTTTATAGTGTGGAAAGACATTGCTAGATGGTTCATCATTCTACTAATTGGCATAGTAACTGCCCTCATAGCATTTTTTATAGACATATGCATAGAAGAATTCTCAAAGATTAAATACAGAGAGCTGAAGAAATGTATCCTTTCCAAACAGTTAAGTTGTTGAGTGAATCATTGATAATGTAATAAAACACCAAATTTTTCCTTTATTCAGGTTATTCAGTCAACAAATAAGTACAATGTTAAAAAAGTATAAGTAATATAAAAAGTACTTTACTCTTAACTTATATTAATTTACAAAAAAAAGTCTTGGTATTATATTTATTATATCTCCTCAACCAACAATAAATTTTATCGAAACTAATGAGTACTTATTGTAACAAACTTACATAGATAAATAAAAAAAAAACTATGGATTATTACATGAATTATCAATCTATCTACTTACAATAAGAAATTTAATACATAGAACACAAAGTTGTTTCTTGCAGTTCATAGTTATTAAGCTATTATTGTCATTTGATAGATGCAAGTATGAATGTGGTTGTGAATATGATTTCCATGACTAATTTATAAACAGCTGTGGACAAATATGTTTTAGAAGACAAACTGTACATTCCTTATTTGCTGTGGGTGTTATCAAACATTTGTATTGTGTTCATTGGATCTATGCTTGTTGCATATGTTGAGGTAAGTGACACTACTATAATATGATTGCAAATATATTCTACATATCCGGCAAGCGCTGCTAGCTTCCCAGCTGATTACAACCAGCTCTGAGCATATGCTCAAACAGCAGGAATAGTATGCAAACAAATATTCAATTCAATTTATTAGAATATTTTTTTAATAGGTAATGTTGCCCCACACTATGATTTACTCCTGTGTCGTGGGTGTGGTTACAAACATACAATTTCACATACACATGACACCCAGACCCGGAATAATAATTTGTGGATCACACAAAGAGTTGTTCCGTGTGGGAATCGAACCCGCAACACGTTGCACGGCAGCCAGCTGCCCAGCCACCGCACCAAACGTGCAGTCCCTGGAAAGAATAGTGCATTCGAACAACCTCTTCAACTTCATAAAAAACTAATATCTAAATGTAAATAAAAATTATATTTTTTTTTTGCAATGGTTAATTTTACTACAGTATCTGTCTCTATTTTTTAAAGAATGTATTCAAAGCCTTACACATACACATACAATCACTTATATGTCTATTTTCAGCCAGTAGCAGCTGGAAGTGGTATTCCTCAAGTAAAATGTTACTTAAATGGAGTCAAAGTGCCGCGAGTGGTACGGATCAAGACACTAATCGTAAAGGCTGTTGGTGTTATCACAGCTGTCGTTGGCGGACTGGCGGGAGGCAAGGTAAACCAGTTCTGGTGTATTGCTTTAAATGAATAACTAAAGGTACCTACACAATCTTGGTATGCCCTTTTAATTCATGAAACCCCGAGCGAACGCCGGCGTTTGACCTTCGTCTATTGAGTCTCGAATTACCATGACTGAAAGGTTAACAGGGTTTTAGTTAAAAAGTATAAAGTACATAGAAAGACTGTTTAAATTTAGTTTATTAGCTAGCATTGATGTTAATAAACAAAAATTACTTTTGATTGTAAACCTTTTCACATACAATATTTTTACAAATTCAGATAAAAGACATGCCAATCTTGTTGTCATTTAGTTAATTATCTGAACTGACATAGGTGCCATACATATTACATGTACAATAACATCATCAAAGATTTTTATTTATTGAAATTAGAGATTAGAACACACCTTCGTAAGTGTTAATCGTCGATTCTTATTTCGATGTATCAAAAAATATTTCCTTGTAAAACTAGCCATCAGATCAAACACAATCGTTCGTACTTACAAGAGAACTGGCCAAGTCAGACTAAAAAATATTTTATGTTGTTCTAGTTTATTTCAGGACTGACCATTAAACTTGGCACCCCTTTAGATCTCATTGCTTTTGTCATTGAAGTCAACAACAAATACATTTATTATGTTTTTGATCTGATGATATTTTTTTATATGATATTTTTTTAATTGAATAGACATCTCAAGTATAACTCAGTATTCCACTTATTTCACATAAAAGAGGCTGCTTAAATTTTGACGTCGTCATATACATAAATAAAATATCAACATCTACAATGTTTGTAGATATGTCACTGGAATCGCTTAAAAAACAATTTGCAGGAGTCAATAGTTGCTTACGCATCGTTCTCATAAGTTTCATCATCAGCCTATAAGTGTCCACTGCAGAGTAAAGGCCTCATCTCACACGGAGAAGGTTAGAGCATTGATCACCACGCTTGCTCAATGCGGGTTGGCGATTTCAAACTTTTGAAATTATTAGTCCAGGTTTCCTCACGATGTTTACCTTCACCGTATGTCAGTGGTGTATAAATAATCATAGAATAACTAATAAGTACGTAGTATGCTAAAAAGATATATCTACAGGTACTGTACTGTACTTTCATCATTATTTTTATTTATTTCCTTTTTCAACAAGAATGCAGGGCCAAAGGCCTCTCACGCCAGGCATTAGTCGAGGCCATGGTGCAGAGCGAGAGGTACTGGGAAGCCGTTTCCTTTTTCTCCTCGGATATTCCTCTAGTGACGTAGCTCCTGGAATAAGCTGAAACGAGAACCATCAAATTCATTCTTTTAATTTGCCGTCCTACGGTTTCTCATATGTATGCATACCTATATTTTTTTCCACGCAACATTTTCTTGTTCAGGAAGGGCCTATGATCCACAGTGGAGCTGTGGTGGCGGCGGGTATATCTCAAGGCAAGAGCACGACCTTCAACAAGGACTTCAAGATATTCCAGTACTTCCGCGAGGATCACGAGAAACGTGACTTTGTCTCGGCGGGCGCGGCTGCCGGTGTGTCCGCGGCTTTCGGTGCTCCTATCGGTGAGACGAAACTTCACTGGGAAATTTCCTTTAAGTTCAGTTTGAGTGCAAAGTATATACAAGTAAAAATTTCATAACTTACAACAATATAGACTAACAATGTGCCACCAAATTGTCTACTTACATGTTATTTTTTATATCCGAAACTATAGAATTTAATTTGATTATTTACATTTTGATACGCCATGAAGTTTGGTTTTAAACGCGCCGAAATGGTTCCTGATACTAATTTGTTCTTCGTATGTCTTTGATATTTACTCTAGCTAGACGAACCTTCGACACAGAAAAAACATAATTATAACACTATAATACTTCTGCACAATGTATATTCATTTTTCACTAGCTAATTGTCCTTCGACACAGAAAAAACATAATTAGGTATAACACTAAAATACTTCTGCACAATGTATATTCATTTTTCACTAGCTAATTGTCCTTCCTCCTTCCTTTTTAGGTGGAGTACTGTTCTCTCTTGAAGAAGGAACGAGTTTCTGGAACCAGGCTTTGACATGGCGAACTTTTTTCGGCACTGTGGTTTCCACTTTCACGTTAAACTGCGCCCTGTCAGCGTATCATGGAAGGGCGGGAGAATTAAGCTTTCCTGGTTCGTATCGATAACCTGCTTACGTTGAAATTCTATCTCCAGTTGACGAAACTGCAAACGAGCAGAAACCTTAGATTAGTTACATAGGTTATCTACATCGATCACTAATAAAGTATTAGTGATCGATGGTTATCTGTTATATAAAAATGAATCTCCTATGGTAAAAGCTCCAAATAGCAACCCTTTCGATGCCGTGGCGATTCCCTAATAAAACAAATGGCTGACACCGACGCAGTTGGACACACGTGAGATTAGCTGATGGTAAGCAATCAGCGCCGCCCATGGACACCCGCAACATCGAAGGCGTTACAAGTACATTACCGACTTTTATTCATTTATTTATTTATATGGAAACTCAACAGCTTATTATTAATTTACACGAGTTCTGAGTGTTCACTTCACTATCAATGAACAGCTTAAAGTACTTACTGAACAGTGATAGCAAAATGATGACAAAAATTATCTCTTAAGCCAATAACAGAGTCTCACGACATTAAAAAGGACAAATGCAACTAGAAGTGGGAAAATTTTACACAAATGCAGCTACTAAAAAATTATAATAAAGGAATGTTGACACTATGTTCACATTCGCAAAACAAAATTGTGATATGTTTATAGGATTTTGGGACAACAGCAAAAACTGATAAACCAAGAAAAAACGGGAACACGGTTACCTTCATACGCGCTTTAGATGATAAAACATGATAATCAACAAATGTGATGAAAACTGAAAAAAAGAAAAAGGAAAAATGAAAATTTTAGGGGTTTTGGGATCGGGGCGAGTTTGGGCGAGGAGTCTCTGAAACTTTTCTCACACGGAAAAACAATAACGCTGTGGTTGTTTCACGCCGGTTTCCTGTAAAACCGTGATACCAATCCGGTCGAAGCGACCCATTCGATGTTGCATAGCCTATAGCACTCAGGAATATTGTAGCTATCTCCTCTATGTTCCAAAGATTACCCCCAACATACAAACTTACAAATGTAACCTCTTTATTTATAATTTTAGTATAGATGAGTGTGCATTAACTTTTTCTCTTTTAACATTTTAGGTCTTCTAAATTTAGGCAAGATGGAGCCATTTCCATTCCAATTCTACGAGCTGCCCGTGTTCATGTTCTTTGGTGCGGTTGGAGGGATGCTAGGCGCTTTGTGGAATTACATCAACTACAGACTAGCCGTTTTTAGGATAAGGTATTTTATTTTATTTATTCATAGATGTGGATTATTTTTACCACTTACTTATATACTTATATAAATATAAAAATCTAGTTATTTCAACAAAAAGCTACTTTAGAATAATATTATTTTAGTTTCGCAGTAATTATAAAATGCCTTTGGAATGAGATAATACCAGGAAAATGAAGTTTTATAATAATAAAATATTCCTCAACCTACTATTTAGCCTACATCTACTTCATAAATTATGGAAAAATAAATGCCCGTTATTTCCCGTAACCCGTTCCCGTCAGATAAATGTTATCTGAGGAATAAAGTTGTTGCTCGTCTAAGGGCTAATTATGATTCTGTCGTGTTAGAATGTTTGTGTGAGACAGTGACAGCAACAATTTTTTTCCGCAGATAACTTTTATCTAACCATTGAAAAATCAGCCCTAAAGCCAATAGATATACAGAAATTAAATTAACTAATGAAGGTTTTTTTCCATTATTGAAACACGTTATGGGAACGTTTTTTCATCAGGTACATAGGGACGCCTTGGTTGCGAGTGGTGGAGGCATGTCTAGTGGCGGCCGCGAGCGCTACTTGTGGCTTCCTAATGATGTTCCTTCTAGACGACTGCAGACCATTAGGAGAGGATCCTACTAAAGTGCCTTTGCAGGTATGAACATTTCGAAAGTATTGAATTTATTATTTTTTTCAAACAATTTGCGCAAGTTCTGCAGTATATAAAGTACTTGCGGTCGTCAGCGTGGATGTCGATCTTACACTTTTTCAAATTTTATTTTTTTTTTATTTTCTCTACTTCCACGAATAATTCAAGACCAAAATTAGCCAAATCGGTAAAAGCATCGTTGAGTTATAACATTACAACGACAATGAAAAGTGGCATTGATTTATATAAGTAATATAGATTAATAATTAATGTGAATCAACATTCTAACTCTCAATTATATTTCACAGTTATTCTGCGCAGACGGTGAATACAACGCTCTAGCAGCTATTTGGTTTCAAACACCCGAAGCGTCCGTACGTTCATTCCTTCACGACCCAATTGGATCATACAAGCCGTGGTCCATCCTCGCATTTGTTGCCTGCTACTTCCTATTGTCTGCTTGGACATTTGGGCTATCAGTGTCCAGTGGGCTCTTTATACCAAATCTACTAACGGGCGCCGCCTGGGGAAGGATGTTAGCAATTATAATCCAGTACATGCTACCTTCCAATGTAAGTAACCATATTATTATTATTATATCTATTTAAATTATAACCGTTGGAATAAAAACTCATTCTTGTTCTTAGACGATTAACCCTGCGAAGTACGCACTAATCGGCGCCGCAGCCCAGCTGGGGGGAGTGGTGCGCATGACGATATCATTGACAGTCATCATCATCGAGACCACGGGACAGATCTCCAACGCGTTGCCCATCATCATCACGCTGGTCGTCGCTAAATGGGTTGGAGACTTCTTTAATGAGGTAGTTTGCTTGTTTTATGTAAAATTTGTTATTAATATATTAATCTACCTATATAGTTCTTCTATTGTACAACAGAGGCACGTTAATTGAAGAAAAAAGGCACAAGTATAAAATTGTCACCATACTTGAGTGATTGATGCAATTATATTACTAAATATGGAACTTACACTACTCATAATAACTGAAAATTATACCTGATGCTATTTTATATTAAATTGCAAAAAGAGAAAACAATAAATTCTTATTCTAATCAAAGCCTTCCTTGCTAGGGTATCTACGACATACACATCCAGTTGGCAGGAGTGCCTCTCCTGCCTTGGGAGCCCCCGCCGCTAGCCCATAATTTATACGCATCAGAAGTAATGTCGCACCCTGTATTTACTCTGAGGACCGTTGAGAACGTCGGCCATATTGTGGAGCTGCTTAAACTAGTCTCGTATAACGGATTCCCTGTTGTCGATCCACCTTTAGCTGATGATGTAAGTTATTTTGTTTTACATTTAATTAATATACTTAAAACTTGTAATTTTCGAATTAATTTTTAGTAAAAAAGCGATTATTTTTAATTTTTGATGTAAAAACATTATCACGTCAACGTCGACATTATGATGTTGGGATTTCATACAAAATTAATAATAAAGTAAGACACTTTTCTTCTTCTTACATTACAATAAAATGGAGCCGAGCAGCGGGTGAAACCGCGCGAGAGTAGCTAGTGAATGTATAAAGCGGTTTGGCTATTCTCTCACAAAAACACTTATATATCGTTTTATTTTATAGGTGGAAGTGACAACGTACAAGCGGCTTAGAGGCATGATACTACGTTCTCAATTAATAGTACTGATACAGAACAAGCTTTACAATGAGAACGCCAACACGACCTGGTCAAATTTCAACGTAGACATGGATATGTTCAGAAAGGAATACCCACGGTTTCCTTCCATTGATGAGGTAAGCAGTCTTGAATAAAATTTTCAGAACTTATGTATGTAAACTTTAAAATATATGTAACAGTCCTAGAAACATGTCTATCAAGAACAAGATTCTGATTCGGTTCTGACATCTGAATTAAGATCAGACGTCAATAAAATAAAAATGTCTGCTTTCTGAAATGGTTAGTTGACAATGTCAAAATTACATACTAAATAAGTAATATCTGTGTATATTCCATTTTTCTGTCGGTCATTTATTGTCTGCCACTGTATACAAAGTGTTCACAAACATTTTTGGGAAGGAGTCACATGTTGGTATCCAGATCTAGACCCCATTTCCTGAGTTTTACTATCTTCCAGACACAATATTTTTTTGTTTTTTAAAATTTCTTGAATAATCGTTTTTTTCAGTTTATTGTCTTATTTTCATTAAACAATATTTATAACATTTTCAAATGTGTTATTCTAAAGAAATAGACATTTTACAGCATAAGATTAAAAATACTTGTAGAGCATTCAAACTCATAAAAATGAAATAAACTACCTACAAAAAACATCACATTAAAAATTTACCTCTAAAAAATCAAAAGCTTTTTCAACCTTTTTTCTACTTTCTAATGATATACTACATGACATGAACCTTTGAATCATTAACTTCATTAACATTTTTATGTACATCCTAGAAGGTGTCAAAATAAAGAAAAACTAATTTTGTTTAAAAAAATATATATTTCAACTACCTACTGATTTTGGTCAAAATTATTTCCTCTGTTTCGAATGCAAGTGCGACATCTTTTTCTTATTTCTTCAGTCGTGGTCTTAAGTATAATTTGTTCATTCATTATTTAAAAGATGCTTATTATTCTTTGCGTCGCGTACACTGATTCTTTATCATACTATCGTATGATGTTCTCGTCCACTGCAATGTTATGTTGCCTCACGTTAAATACGAGGCATTTGGACATGTACGCTTCCAGTCTCCCTCAGACGTTGATACGTCGTAGAAAACGTTTCATGGTGTGGAACACGCCGGTTAGGATATCGCTCTTTGTAAATTCGACGTGCTTCATGAGCGTTATAATTCGCTTTACCATACGCCAACAACATGTCAGCATACTCTTCGTTACTGTAGCTAGGCATCGTAACGATTACGGTTGAAGGCCAACTCACCAACAGTTTAATAAAACAACAAATGAATCTTTACAAAAACAAACTTTTACCACAAAAATAACAAAGACGTGAATACTCGGGCAGTCACATTGTCAATGTCACATGTCACAATTGTCACCATGACATAAACTCCGGCCAAATTATAGACAAAGACAAGAGATATTTTAATGCGCAAGAAAGAGATAGACTGTTTACCTGGTCACTATTGCTCCAACAAACGGGTTAGCAATGTTTGTAATCACTAACATGACCGTTTTTTAACTATATTGCTAGTGAGATAGTAATGAATCACTAGCGTAAAACTATGTTACGGTATATAATTATATTCTTAGGGATTATATAACTATATACGGCTATATCTATCTTACTGCGACAAATTATATACAGGGTGTAAAAAGACACTTAACGAAGCCGAAAGCCACGTATTCTACACATTATTTGGATCATTTTTTTCTTTAAGACCATAGCTGGGACTCCACGGGTTCTCGAGATATTGAAGGTCAAAGATGCATTTTTATTTTTTTGCGCTATCGAATTCTAAGTTACAAAACTTTTTTCCAAACAAACATTACCTGAATTTTCGATTTTTCTAAATAAATTACGCATTTGAAGTTACGAACAGTACCTAATGTACGTAATAAATAAATGCAAAACATCGTGCATCTCAACAGGATTTTTATTTTACAGAATTGTTTTGTTGTTGCGAAGTAAAACGTCGACCTACGTACTTATCACAGCGTTTTAATGCTAAGCTGTGAACCTCCGCACACAATGACACGAAGCCCGTTTGCTTTACATTGCGCGTGTTAGATTTGGTATATAAAAGATCAATTTAATTTATAATTTAATATTGAACTCTCATGAATAAGTAAAGAAATAAACATAAAGTAAATAAATAATAAAAATATTAGACATTTTCTAATCTTTTAATCATGTTCAATAGCAAATAGCAATATAAAAAGAACAATTACATAAAAAGAGATAATTCACTTAACTTAGCACAACGCCAACCCGCCAAAAAGTGTCATCCTTTATTTTACAACATTATTCGGAACAGTCATACTTTCCCGCCAAAATTGACCAAACAGAGACAAGCAAACTTTCTAAACAAATAACTAAATTCACAATTGAAATCAACAAATTTAAACAAAACAAATCGTATTTAAAACTTATAGCGATAATTTTAATATTTATTTTAATTATTAAACATGTAAGCCTTTAGATATCAAATTTAATAAACATTAAACAATAACAATGGTAACCTCGTTTTCATGTGCGTTTTCAGAGACAGTTAACATTCATTTAAAGTTTGTTTACAGAGATAGTTAAATATAAAAAATATACAATAATCTGTCACGGCCATTCTGACCTGTACTTCGCTCTCGAAGTACCATATAATATTATACTATGTATACAAACCATTAATTAATAATACATAAAACTTAAAAACTAATACATTTTAGCATTGTCACCGCCTCACTTTTCACATTAAGTAGACGAATAACAACGGTCAATTCGCTTACTGACCTGTACTTCGCTCTCGAAATACCTCATATATATTATACTACGTATACTAACTATTACAAACTGTTAATTTATAATGCATAAAACTTAAAACTAATACAGTTTAGCATTGTCACCGCCTCACTTTTCACATTAAGTAGACGAATAACAACGGTCAATTTGCTCACTGACCTGTACTTCGCTTAAAAACTAATACATTTTAGCATTGTCACCGCCTCACTTTTCACATTAAGTAGACGAATAACAACGGTCAATTCGCTTCTCTTGTTTTTTTTTTCACAATTATTTATCTAGCCCCACACCTGCTGCACATGAGACAGACTAGATAAGCAAATTGACTTCAGCAGTTCTTCATTCCAAACACTTACAGTATTTACTACACAGTATTTTGTCTTACTATATTGTTATGTAATAATTACAATAAAAATTAAACAACACGTTTAAGGCAAAATCAAAATCAACTGATGAAAATAACAACATTAATTGCATATAATACAACGTATATTAATCAGACTCATTATCATTTGGTTTAGAAACTGGTGGAGCCTCTGTAATACTTGGAGGTAACTGAGTGACTTTATTTTTTAAACATTGTAAATGAAAATGTCCGGTTTCATTACATATAAAACATATCTTTTCGTTTTCATTTTTATCCTCACTGGGTCCTGATCTACTATCTCTACAGTTACTTTCTAGAGACCGTTTATTTTTTGAATAAGATGACAAAAGAGAAATTAACCGTGAAGTAGAAGCAACGTTACCGTTCAGTGAAGCCATCCTAACATTGACGTCACTAACACCACCACAAACCAATTCAATTAATTGTTCTTCCGTAAAAGCTACTGTAGTGTTACGAAGTAACCTGAGTTTTTCTCGAGCATATTCACCATAAGAATCAGCCGTATCAGAGGTAAACAATACCTATTGCTTTTTGTAATCTGCCAGACAAATTTTTCTTCTCGGGGTAGGCGTCAATAATATCAGCACGAAACTTTTCCCAAGATCTACCTTCTAAGGGATCCCAGGACTTAAACCAAGTCAAAGCAGACCCTTTAAGGGCCTTACCTGCCTTAGCCGCTGTTTTGATCCTACTCCAGTTAAGATCCTTGGCGAGCGTTTCAATGTTGTTGCAGCACCGTTGTCGCTTTTTTTTCGGATCGAAGACTGGGAGCGCCACATCATCAATTTGGGTGGTCTTGGAGATTGCATCGCGTAACGTCTTGAGCAAGGCACCGATTGTCTCAGTATCCATTCTGAAACATGGCCATAATATGATTAATATGTTAAAAATATACATAATTGAGGCAGGGCATCCCACTTCTGATGTTAGATTTGGTATATAAAAGATCAATTTAATTTATAATTTAATATTGAACTCTCATGAATAAGTAAAGAAATAAACATAAAGTAAATAAATAATAAAAATATTAGACATTTTCTAATCTTTTAATCATGTTCAATAGCAAATAGCAATATAAAAAGAACAATTACATAAAAACAATGACGTATTACATATAGACACGTCATGAACCAACATCGCGGCGCTTAAAAACGGCGAAAATACTAGATAACTACTTCTACGAGTAAAGAAAGGGAAAGAAAATATGACATCGTATAGTAGAATGCCTTTGCTAGAGGGAGATAAATATACATCTTCAGTTATGCCGACGGCACGTGACTATACTTTCATGCGCCGGCCGCAAGAAGATGGCGGGCGCCGGCTTCGAAAAAAAATAAAATAAAAATAGGTTGTTTGGTGAACTTACGCATGAAATGACACATTTTTGTCTTTAACTTTTGGAGTATAATTTGTACATCGTCTGAACACACACGACGACATGCTTTCTTTATGTTTCGCACAGGTTTACACACTCGCGGCAGGTTGGTGCGTAACTAAGCGCGATGTGGTCAATTGCCTTCATTTCATGTTGTCATTTTAGAGCGCGGACAACGTATCTATAGTTTTATACATCATTGCATAAAAAGAGATAATTCACTTAACTTAGCACAACGCCAACCCGCCAAAAAGTGTCATCCTTTATTTTACAACATTATTCGGAACAATCATACTTTCCCGCCAAAATTGACCAAACAGAGACAAGCAAACTTTCTAAACAAATAACTAAATTCACAATTGAAATCAACAAATTTAAACAAAACAAATCGTATTTAAAACTTATAGCGATAATTTTAATATTTATTTTAATTATTAAACATGTAAGCTTTTAGATATCAAATTTAATAAACATTAAACAATAACAATGGTTACCTCGTTTTCATGTGCGTTTTCAGAGACAGTTAACATTCATTTAAAGTTTGTTTACAGAGATAGTTAAATATAAAAAATATACAATAATCTGTCACGCGCAATAAAATTATTATTATTTTTTGATACCTAAAAATAAAAGTCGTTTCCCAGTGATAATTTTAGCGTAAAGCTACTTAGTTAGAACTGCAGTATGCGTAGTTAACGGCTTCGTTAAGTGTCTTTTTACACCCTGTATAGTTATTTAGGATAACAACCCATTTGGCAATGTTATAAAGTTGTTAGTCTAAATACGAAAACAAACTGAAAGGGCATAACGTTCTTAAGACGATAATTCATGTAATAAAACAATAATTTAAAAAAACCGTTACTGTATTATAGTGAAACTTAGGACACGGGGTTTGGGTCTGAAAACTAGAACATGACCCCTTGAATCCTTCAAAAAAAATGTTGTGAGCCTGTTACAGCCAGAACAGGTATAGAACTTAATTTGTAAAAAGATAAAATATTGCCACTATGATCACTACAAATTTTAGGCAGTGGTTACAGAGATAATGTAAGTAAAATTTATTTCACAGTTGGATGTGGCAGAATGGGAGAAGGCATGCACAATAGACTTGCGTCCGTTCATGAATCCCTCGCCTTACACTCTGCCGCATCGAGCGTCATTACCGCGTCTCTTCAGATTGTTCCGAGCACTTGGATTAAGGCATTTGCCTATAGTAAATGATGTTAATGAGGTAATAACCGTTTTATAGTTATATTATTTTCTAAGTGCAGGTTTCGTCCGTGGAAATTCACCTATTTCTAAGTAGTACTGGCATTCACGTTGTTTTTATGTAAGTAGGTATACTTACATAAAAACAACGTGAATGCCAGTTATAGAGGTAGATTGATTTTTATTTTATATTTCCTTAAATATGGGTGAGCCATGCTTTGACACAAATGGGCGGCTCGGCCAGAGTGATACCACTGCCTTACAGAAAACCGGCGTGAAACAACCACAGCGTTGTGTTTCGCCGTGCGAGTCAGGTTACCGGAGGCCCATTCCTTCCCCAATCCTTAAATTTCCAAATCCGTAATCCCCAAAAGGTCGACAACGCATTCATAACTTCTCTGTTGTTGTGGGCGTCCATAGGCGGCGCTGATTGATTACCATCAGAGGGCCTACCATGACGTGTTCAAGGTGTATAGTTCCATCCCTCTTTCTCGCCCGAAAGATTCACGCTTTAACACTACATGGTTACAGGTTGCTTCTTTACAAAAACAAAATACGGTCATAGTAAAAATAGGTTTGATTCCTACTTATCACTTAGCGGAAAGATTGTTACACTGTAGATGCCAGATAGTTATGTGTTTCTATTTTTTATTGTGTGCAGATGTATTTTCTCCTGACGTGGGTGCGTTTACAAATATACTTTTCACATCCACACACAATAAAAAACTGTTGTTATTATATTATGTTTAAAAATATGAATATATTAATATCAATATTTTACAGGTGGTTGGCATGGTAACTCGTAAGGATATTGCGAGATATCGAGTGTGGCGACATCGTGGCCATATGGGCATGGAGGAGTTGATACTTTCTAGTGAAATTTAATATAATGTTTATGCACAAGTGTCCGACCTAAGCACAATTTAGTGACGATTTCTTTTAGCCGAAATTGTACTAAAAACATTCAATTTGGAAGACGACTTATGAAGAACTTATGAAGATTATAATAATTATGAAACTAGTGGTATTTTGACCAGAGGCAGTATATTTACCTTGTCTTAATATATATGATAAAATTGAGTGAGGATGGAAAGCATTTACATGCAATACATTCAAATCCCACTACAGTGCTCAACAAAGATAGTAAAATGTCCAATATAAAAATTGTAAAGTAATTGTAAGTTTCTTTTTGTGGAAAGTTATAATATTCTTATGAAGTGTAATTACTTATTGAAATCTGTGATCGTTACAGCTTGGGCTTGTATCAGTATGACAAAATATATAATATAATTAAATAGCAACTGAATGAACTAGTTGCAATTTGTGTTGTTTTTTCTTCAATACATGTATATTGGTCGGACATTTTCAATCGACATAATTTTAGGGAAATTTAATCAAATGACAAGATTTTTATTTTTTTACTTAATCCTAGCTCAGAATTTAGATTGAAATAAGTACAGCTTTGTTATTTCGTTATATGTGTATTTGACGCCAAATAATTTAGTTTTATGGAATAGAGTGATAATAAAGAAATTAGGGTGTAATCAAAGTAGTTAATAAATTTGGGACTAAGAAAATTATGAATGAAGTATTGTTTACCAGATTACTATTTGTTATTATTGTACTCTTAATAGAATAGTATTAGTGGCCTGAACAGATAATACCTTATTATATACCTGACTCAATAATACCTTATTTGTTTTTAACCAGTAGTTTGCCAAAACATATAGGGTAAGCTAGACATAAGGTATATTTGTTAACCTGTTTCATAATATGGCAACATCCAAGAGGCTTTAGAGTCAAGTTAATAAAAAATCTTATTTTTCATGTTTTAATCATTCATTAGGTTATATATACTTGACTTACTATCAATAAATTACACATCAATTAGTTTAGTAGGCATTATAAATAATCAAAAGCATGTTGAAGTTAAGGAAGTATAAGGAATATTTTAAGAAAGTTTTTAACTTTCTGACCCATCAATTTGTTATTAATATGCAATAACATACATATTCTTATGATGTATGCCATCATTGGGACGCATGAATGTTGCCTAATTAATGTGATATTCTTGTTAAGATGAGACATGTACTAGAAAATTGCATAAAATTGTAACGCAATCAATATGAAAAAAAAATATGAAATATTGTTTATTATGACACTATTGTGATAATTATAAGGCTAAGATTATTCATCTTGTTATTAATAAAAGTGTTTATATGGAAAAAGTTTATTTTCTCTTTATAACTTGCACATCTTAACATAAAAAAATACCTCTACATCTTAATTATAAACAATGTTTTATTTTAAGAAGTAGACCTCTGCGCTTCATTGAAGATAGTATGTCTCGAAGAACGCAAGTATTATATTTTCATATTATATTAATTGTTTTCAAACAATTCCCAGCCAATACCAGACCACAAATTGAAGAACAAAATCACTGGCAATACAACTAAAAGTATCAGTAGGTAGTTAACGAATTCATCCATTGCAGTATTTATTTTCGGAGCTCTAATTAAAATTAATCACAATAACTTAATAATATATCATTTGCAGAGTAAAGAGTACTGAATCGCAAGTCGCAATGTTAATGTTAACAACATAACCTAAAAGGTTTGACACAAGTTTGACAGGTTTGTGACATGTTGTACCTGTTTTAAAAATAATTTGACGGCTACAAAAGTTCTTTTTGTCTATGATTTGGTCTTGATTGTTTATGTTTATGTGAGGAAACAAGCTGGCTTATCCCTATTACATAGGTACCTACTTATCTTTTTTATGATAGGATCATAGGATGGCAAACGTTTATGTACGTGATTGTCAGGAATTGGCGCCGCCACCGCCTATGAACACCTGCAGCAAAGATAATATAACACTACGTTTGACTTGCAACACTAGAGGAGTGACGAAAGCATTTTCGATACATCCGGCCTTTTGGGGATTAGGTTATCGAAGATTTAGGATTGGGAGGTAATCCGCTCGTTTACCATAAAAATCAATACAATTCTTATATTAGGTACCGTAAAACGGGGTGAATAGAAGTTGAGGGGTAAATAGATACACGAAAGGGGTGAATAGATGTTGGCGAATTTTCCTTGTATCTATTCACCCCGTCCTACCGTTAGGTCCCCATATAGTGACCGTGTTTGCCTAATAGGTAGGTAGCCGTTATGTATCCCTATCGCTTTTTTATGATGTGATAACAAGCGATGTTGGTCCTTTAGGTTTATTGGGGAGGTATGGAAGAGGGGAAGGATTGGACCTCTGGCTACCTCACTTTTATAGAAAAATACAACGTTGTGGCTGATTCACGCCGCCGGCTGACCGGCCGGTATGACGCCGGGTTACCTATATCGGCACTCCGGTCGAGTCGACACATCTGTGCCAAAGGATAGCTCTCCCAAACTTAATTTTAGCCTCATAGGCCTATAAGGCGACATATTTCTTAGAGGCCAGAGCACTGATACAGAATTTTATTATACAATTTCTATCAGGCTTTCCCCTACAGATGTTTTAAAAGTAAAATACGTAATCTAAAGGTTATTCCTTTAATGACCAAATCCTGACCATCGTTAGAAGTAATGTCTCATAACAAAATAATTATAAGTTGTTTAACATGGAAATTGATTATTCTCATATTATAAAACTTAATCCATTGTCTCACTCACACACAAAACAAACACACAATTATTAAAGTTAATAGACTAATCTAAATTTATGTCAATAAAATTATTAGTGTTGCGTTTTAGAGTGATTTTGTAAACTCTACATTTTTTTTAGTAATGTTTATAGAGCAATTGTTACAAAAGCTATCATAATTTCTTAAATGGAAGATAATTAACAAGTATACAAATTAACATACATAATAATATTAACAGTGCTAGAATATATTAAATGATTTAACTTATTAAAAAACTGAAAAGAAGCAAAATTGCTATAAGAAATAATCACAGTTCATATGTATGGAAAAGGCAACTGATGGCTTGCTGGGCGTCTTCAAAGTACCGTGGTTTATCAACTCTTACAATACCATAATCTGGTTCTAAGGCCGGCAACATTGTACTTTGTCCAGTTTGACAAAGACTCATATTCAAAGACTGGTTGTTGGTATGAGAAATGAATTTGGATGTTTGAGGTGTATGGAACTTGCTACGCATAATGTTGGTAGTCATTCGTTTAGTTCTATCAACATTTCCTTTTATTGTTACCAGCATTCTATGGTTTTCTGGTTGATTCAGTAACTGTGTTAGGTCCTGGGAAGAAAAATAAAAAAATCAAGACACCGAAACTACGATATGATAGAATGAAATCTCAAAAAAAGTCGCATACCTTCTTAACATGTTCATATTTGGAAAACAGCCACAAATATGTTGCCATTATACAAAACAATTGAGTCTCGCTGTTACTGAATCTCCACATAAATTTTAATATTGGCGAAATACGATCTCTCTGCAAAAAACAAGAATTGTCTATAAATAAAAAAAGTAAAATCGTCCATAGAATTAGGTAGAACACGTACAAAAAAACAAACAAGTTACATTCGGCAATTCCAATTAGTAGGGCAAGCACTATTTATACATCTATCACTTCTAGAAAACGTAGTACATAGGACTACTAGTGATCAAGAACTCGAATTATGAGGTATCGAAAATAGCAATTGATAAGTACTTCGTTTTGTATAAAAACTCTGACCCCTTATTACAATACAAGATCTTTAGTCTAGGTTTTAACCATTGAGTCAGGTTTTGTATTTTGTTTGAATATTATTCTCACCTACCTTCAATTTCAAATACAAATAATACTCAGTGGTTTAGACTTAACTAAAGAAAAACCTTTTTGTAACAAGGCTGTGAGAGTTCTTTGACTGCCAAAATTGCTTTTTTAACAATTTCTTATTTTATTTGATAGTTATTTACCAAGTATATCTTCGGACCCGTAATCCTATATCTAGTCAAGTTGACGAGCACGGCAGCTGCAGATTTCAGCACTTCTATACTGGAAATGGATCTGTTTGTCACTGACATATAGGTGTACACACGATGCACAATGGCCGACGCGTTGTCGTTGTACAACATCGGAAATACTTCCGTTAATAACTCTGTAACAATAACACAATTTATTAGGAATAATTACAACAAGATTTCGCGTATTATTAAATCCGTGACCCATTGAGACGTGAGGGTATCACCTCAACCCAATTTTGATCAATCCTCTTACCACTAAGGCAAATAACAAAAATGTACATTTCTTACCAAGAGATCTAAATGCCTTGATTACAGTTTCAATGCCGCTAATATTCCGAAGCACCTCCATAGCTTCCTCATTGCGCTCCTTCATAGACTCCTGGCTGGACTTTAAGCCACCGTCACGCCACCTACGCCTAATTGCTGCGACGCGCTTGTCATGAGCGATGTCCATTCTCGCTTTATGGCCACGGAATAACGCCTAAAATGTAAGGAATTTTTATTAATATGAAATGCTTGCCACTTTCATTTTACTTTGGTTTCGTACTTGATGTGAAAATAAAAGTTGTAAATTTACCTGAATTTTAGAAGCAGCCCAGTAGACCCTCTGTTCTTCTCTTATCTTTTGGATCTGTTCTCTCTTTAATTGAATTTGTTTTCTCACCAAGTACCCTCTAATAATAGCCTGGAACTTTACTACAATTCTTCTTTTTTGTGTAAATTCGCAGCGTATCAGTCTCGTAAGTAGTTTACCTCTCCATAATGTCTGAATGAATCTCACTCGCTCTATATATTTTACGTACCACGACCGCACTAGATGCCGTCTCACGTGCTTCTGTAAGCAAATTGCGGCTTGTAATCGTTGAGCTTTTACAAAGTCTCGCTTCTTTTTAAGTCTATAGGCTGCCTGTATTGCGACGGCAGCGGATCGCAATCTGAAGAAACGTCTTCTTTCAACGAAGCCCCTGACATAGCTTTGTAACTTTATAATGGAAGTTCTCATCATAATATATCTTTGTCGTTCTGTGATTGTCAATTTGTATGAGCGGTAGAATCTCTGTATGCACAAAGTAGCTTCTTTGATAGCTACAAATCTTTTACGAAGCATATACATTCTGACCACGGACTGGATCAGTATCGTACATTTTTTCAACGTTAAGTATTCTTCACGGCATACATCACGTTTTTTCGTAGCAACATACCAGTTTCTAATTTTCTCAGCAGCATCCTTTTCTCTTATACTACGAGCTATTTTATTTGCTCTATATCTACTTTGTATCATTATAACTGTTTTTCTGAGAGTTTGGTACTGATTTTGAATCCTTCTAGTTTCTCTTATTAGTCTAAAACGCCTCTGAATTAGGATGGTAGCTGATTTGATATTGTTATATTCAAGACGTTGGCGTTTTCCGCTGGAATATGCTCGGAATGCTGCTTGAATAGTAATACAAGCTTTAATGATGTTTTTGTAAATATGCCTCTCTTTCAACATGAGGCAATATGACCTAAATCTTCTTTGGATAACAATAGCTGCTGACTTCTTGTTAAGATATAATTTTCTATCCGTCCGCATTGTCAGCAAAGCTCTGTATCTTCTTTGTAAAACAATGGCAGATTGCTTCAAATCATTATACTCTTTCCTTTGCCTCCTGCCTGCAACTATAGCCCTATAGAACCTCTGTATTACAATGCACTGTGTCAACATTGTAGTGTACCTTGTTCTTGTTGCTATCATAAGTCTCTGAGCTCTAAACCTGTTTTGAATTGTCTTAACAGCATTTTGTAAGCTTAAATAAGCTTGTCTGTCTTTCCTCATTGCAAGTATGGCCTTGTACTTTTGCTGTAAATTTGTAATAACAAGTCTGGTTCGTAAATATTTTTCTCTTTCGGCTCTCATAGCACAAATACTTCTATACCTTCTTTGAATGCACAACGTTGCGTTGCGTAGCCGACGGTAATCATCCTGGGCTGACTTAGTTAGTTTATACCGTTTATAATGATCTCCAATAAGAACAGCAGCGTTTTTAATTTGTAGATACGACGTCCTTTGCTTCCTTGTTTCCAAATATGATTTGTAATATCTCTGGATAGTAACTGTGGCAGTTTTTATTTTAATATATTGTTGTCTCACGATTTTCATTTCAATATACGACCTGTAGAACGTTTGAATGCAGATAGTTGCGGTTCTAATTCGAACAAACTCTTGTCTTTGTTTTCTTCCAATAATATACGCTCTATAAATCGTCTGTATAGTAACACAAGCTTGTTTCGCTTGCTGGTACTGCTGTTGTATTTCTTTGCCTTCCTTGCAGCTTCTAAACCAGTTCTGTATCTTGATAGCAGCTGTTTTTAATTCCAGATATTTTTTTCTTTGCTGTTTACCCAGTGCATAAGCTCGGAAGGCATTTTGGATAATAGTACAAGACGATTTAAGTTTTAAATACTCGGCTCTTTGTAAACGCATTTTGGTTAGAGCTATATACCTACGCTGAATGACAATAGCTGCTTGACGCAGTTTAGAATATTCTTCTTTTTGTTTACGCATCGAACATTGAGCTCTAAACCTGCATTGGATAACTATTACAGATTTCTTAAGTCGAAGATACTCAGATCTTTCTTTACGCGTAAGTAGCAAGTTTTTGTAACATGTTTGCAGAGTTACTGCAGCATTTCTTAATTGCAAGTAAGCGTTCCTCTGAGCTTTTGTTTCTAAATATGATCGGAAGTATCTTTGAATGAGAATCGAGGACTGAAGTAGTCGTAGGTAATCTTGTCTTAACTTTTTCATGATCAAATATGACTTGATGTATGTTTGAAGTACAACGGCAGCTTTCTTAACGCGTAGAAATTCTTCTTTATCTTTCTTCATTAATTGGTGAGCTCTGACTCTTCTTTGAAGCGATATTATACGTTCTTTCTGTCTTAAGTATTCCTCTGTGCACTTCCTTCCCCTGTACAACGCCTGTATTTTAATAATCTTATATTTGAGGTCTAGGTATTGGCTGCGAGTGTTTCTCATTTCAAGCAATGCTTTATAGCGTTCTTCAATTATATTAACAGCATTTTTCAGCTTTAAGTAATTTCTGCGATCTTGTAACATTCGATAGTAGCTCTGTATAAGAATAGCGCTTCGGCGCTTAATAGCAAAGTCTAGTCTTTGCGCGTTCATCAATAATTTAGCTCTATATCTTTGTTGGACGCATACAACAGCTTGCTTGTACCGAATATACTGTTTTCTGATAAGGAATCTCCGGACTAAGCTTTGTACAATAACGATTCTCTTTAACTGCAATGTATATCGCCTTACACACAGCCAGCGCCTGATTTGACACTGTAAATGAATAGCAGCCTTACGCCTTAATTCTTCCCTTTCAAGTCTCAGCTTTTCAAGTTGTGTTTTAGCTTGTCTCATCATCATTACAGAGCTATACCAAGTCTCGATTTTCAGTACACTCCTTTTCTGCCGCAGAAGGCGACTTCTATGTATCCACATTCTACAATACTTCTGTACTATGATTGTAGCCGCTGTAATTTGTTGCATTTTCCATTCGACCAAGCGGTTATACTGGATACGTCGCCACCAACATTGGATCACACTGGCTGCGTTTACGCGTTCTTGAAGTATTCTCTCTTCCTCCCTCCTCTTCTCCACGATAACTTCGTATTTCTTCCTCCACCACGTCTGTATAACGTTGGCAGCTCTCTCAAACAACGGGGCGCGGAACACATGAATAATCTGCCATAGTAAAGACAGTGTCTTTTCTCTGTGACCATCAGCAATGTCATTGGAAGTAATTTCCCCAACAATCACGAAGTTGGCATCTTTCAAAGCATTCAGGGCAACTTGCACGTTATGAATCTTCTGAAGACGAGAAATAGCCGGAGTACGAAGCTGCCTCAACAAGCCATCCTTCATTAAAATGATTTCCATTACCTTCGTTAGTCGTACCCCATCTCTAATATCCAACGCTATGTTATGCACTGCATACTTATATTCGTCTAAATACGATTGTTTGTGACTCACGACATAGCCGAGTGGTCTGAGGTGTTTCGTGATATCACCAATGCCTGCGATAAGTTCTCTTGTAAATCTTATAATGATTTCCCTGCTTTCTTTACAAACGGCATTTCTGCAGAAGAGACAAGGATCATGCGATATAAGTTTTCTTTGTTTTGCTTGATCTAAGAAGAAAACAAGCATGAAAAATTTTTTGAGGGTAAATTTCTTGATTGCCTCCATGTATGCTGGAAGTAACATGTTCGGAGCATTGGACTTCGAGTGTTTATTTTTTAGGAAAGGATTTTTGAACATTCTTTGAATTATAAAAGTTGTAAGACCCTCAATGTCGCTGTTTGAGTGTAAAGGCAAAACGAGGCCGTAGATAGCTTCAAGGCCGATACGAAGCCATAATGGATTGTACGACAATAATAATTCCATTATAATCTTTTGTAGTCCAACATCCAAATGCAGATTTCTATCAGCCCTAATGGCAATAAGTTTCTTGTCAATTTGAGCAGTCAACTTTTGGAACACTATGGCGATTTCAGGACTCATTAGTAAAGCTCTAGCCGATCTTCTAAGACTTTCCAGTCTGTGACTATTGTGGTAGGCACTTGACACTTGTTCCTTCGTAGGCGCAGCAGGGACTTCTTTATTTCTGTTCTCGATCCAGGCCTTCCCAACATCTATCTTCTGTTCTATGTTGCTATCTAAATCAGAGGGTGGTGTCAATATACAATTCAACCACCTTTTAAATTCTATTTCGAATTTTTCTACAGCCTCTTCGTCGTAAAAGTAAGTCGATGATAAGAATGGATCAACAGTGGCTGCTTGAGAGTATACGTTCCCGACCTGGTTAACCGACATGTTCTGTATTATACTTTTATTTGTCTCAAACGTCGTGTTAGATATCTTACTTGAATCTTTTTTGATGGATGCTTTATTTTTTATAGTCTTTTTGACATGAGAAATTGGTATTTTCCAAAGATCAGGCTCCGCTCGGACAGCTTTTTTGGACCACGATTGTCTTTGACTTGTTGAAGGGATCGAAGAAAATCTATCGGGAGCTTTGTCAAAAGTACGATTGATAGTAAATGTAGACATTTGTTGATCAGTCCTGTTGAAGGTATCAGAGAACTGTACGCTTTCTTCGGGAATAGACTGCAAAGGAGGAGTGAGAGATCTAGGCGGGGGAGATCGTGTGTCCACACGCAACTCGTTTTGCCACGCGTTTTCATAAGCATTCATAAAATTTCTTTGATCATATGTTTCTTTTTGGTGTTGGTAGTCTTTGAAAAGAGCTTGTCGGCACATTTTAGGCTGATCTTTTGGAAGAAAGTGCGGTGGCTTCATTTCGTAGATTTGATTGAAATTCGGTTCCATTGGTGTATTTGGCGACTCCTTAGTGTAAGTGTCGGAGCCAGGTTTAAAATGATCGTCAAAAATATCATGGGTATCATTGTTCAATTTTGGGAATGTCTTCCGTTCTGTCGAAAATCTTTGTGGAAAGAAAGACAGATCGCTAATGCGAGAGAATTCCGTGTTTATAGAAAAATTCGGGCTATTCAGTTCTTTAGGTGACGATGTGTCAGGGTGTTTCTTACTCAGCACTGTGGGAGTTTCTACATGGGTTTCAACTTTAGTATGATGATTCACTGTCAACCATTTGTTAGGTCGTTGTGAAGATGTCACACTGATAATGGAATGAGTCTGGTTTTCTTTATTGAAATCCTTATTTTCCAAACTGTCATCCAACTCACTTTCGGAATTCAAACTAAGGATAATCTTAGGTCCCTTGTCGAGTTTTTCAACTTTGGCAGGTAACGTTTTTAATGGAGTAAATGTAAGATTGTCGAAGAGCTCCGTGCCAGAGACATCACAGGCTTGTTTGTTTGATGGCTTTAGTATATTTTGAGGTGCATTCAAGGTATTGTTGTATGTGTAAGATTTGTCATATGTTTGCTGCAGTATATCTTGTTTATATGGCTGGCGCATATTGGAGAAAACTTCAGAAGTATCAAAGTTAAAGTCAATACTGCCTGGTGAATCAAATGGACATTTATCTGGACGGATGTCCATAGCAAAGTCATTGATTGCCATATTTTCTTTATTGTACATTTGATGAGTAACTTTTTGTTGTGATTGTAACACTTTGTATGTCTTCTGTATTTGTGTGGTATTGTAAATGATTTCAGACTTCTTCTTGTAAACAGCTACTGGAGATTTCTTACTTGATTTCTTTTTTATTTTACCTGGAGATATTTTGAAGCTTTTGGGTTGTGCGCCTTTCCCTTTTATATTCTGGAATTTCATCAAGTTTTATATTAGTCAAAGTCAACAACATACCTTTTATTACACAAGAGAAATATTTTCTGGTGTCCCAAAAGTAAAAATAATCTGGATTTAGGACGATACATTTAAACATTAGAATTTAGAACATACTTTTAAACATATAAATCTTTCTATAAAGTAAAATCACATTTATTTTCAGTCCATAGAAGGCAGAGGGGAGAAAATGGTATACAAATATTATTATTACACCTAAAATCAACTTTTCATCAGATACCAAATATCATATAATTTAGCAGAGCATATAACTGTACTCTTTTTTTATGAACCTTTTACTTTTATCAGAATATGAAAAGCAATGACAATCTCAAATCTTTATAAATAGAATAAGCCAGTGGCATTACTGGCTTATTCTATTATGTTCTATTAAGTTTACCTGTGCATTGGTATGTGAGAAGTCTTAAATAAATAGACAAAGTAGAGGAAGATAAAAATAAAAAAAATAACAATTACCATAACAGACTTAAGAACAACAATAACATCATATCTGCCTCTGTTCTCATTGGTGAAGCGTATTGTCTCCCTAGTTCCAGTTGGCTGGGTTGGAGTCCACATCATCGTCAGACAGTAACAAGTTTCCGGCTCTAGGACCAGCCATTCTCCTGGCAAGTGGATAACTAAGCCAGCTGGCAGGGACTTACCAAGTGTTATCTGAAACAAAACAATTATTATTTTAAGCCAAATAAGAAGTAATTGGTGATAGTGGCCAGGCATCTTATATTAACCCTCTCTTATTGAAAAATAGCAAAAAATATTTATTGGGATCAGTTGAGCGTTCACATGTCCACGGTGCCATGTCCAAGAAAATTTGGAGTTCATTTTTATCTACACTAATATCATAAAGAGGTAAAATTTGTAAGTTTGTATGTCATGTAGGTAATCTTGGGAACCGCTCATTGGATTGCCAAAATTCTTCCACTTATAGATAGCTACAGGCTATAAAATATCAAGCTACAATTAAATGGAGCTGAGCAGCGGATAAAACCGCGCGAGGATAGCTAGTTTAAATATAAGATAATAAGTTGTTTAGTTAAAATTCTTGACATGGTTGAGGTAAAGAAAATCTTCAATATGTGGTTGTTGTATTATCTAATTAATCAACATTAAGTAAATACGATCTAAGAGATCAGGTACTCGGTAATTGGTCAGTACACATCCTTACAGTAAGAAGATAATATTGATGCTGGCATAGGGATTTCTATTCTTATTTAATTTGAAAGTTAGTGAGTGTATTTGGAGTCTGAGACTAACATGATTATTATGAGAATTTGTAACAAGTTTTAAATGCACATAATTACGTTAGATCGACTAACGACAATCTGTGTATACTTATCTATTACAATCACGAAAACGAATGCATTATTTTTCGTATGAATAATTGTAATACATGGGTCATCCTGTTACCTGTTGCACTTGCTTTGACGGATTGAACACCTCCAGGTTTCTCTCGCAAGTTGCACCAATAAGAACATTATCAAAAACCACTTGCGGAGGCCGAGAGAACGGGGCCAGAACAAGACGAGGACATTCCTCCTTAGGTGCCTCCTTCACAACAAATTCCGCACGGCGAGCCCTTCGTATGTGTTCAGGAGTATTTTCAATCTAAAATAAGAACATACCAAGTACATTAAAACTGCAGACGATTTGATCTATTTTAGTAAATGGTACGCACAACACTTACTTGAAAATACATGATTACAGTTAATTAAACACAGTATTCAATATATGACAAGTTTTACTTAATTTTGTCACACATTATTCAGTGACAAACGAACTTCGAATTGTTAAAATTCAAACTCAAACAATTTTTAATACTTCAAAACTATTCAAAAGTTCAAACCGTTCACCGTTTTTTCCCACGACAACTGAAATTCTATTTTACAATAGAAAACCATAGACAAGTATCCAGCTACAGAGTCGAATGACTCAGTCCTTGGATACCCACAGCGCCACACCAAAATAATAAATTGTTAAAATGTACTCTGTGAGTCTAAATGTCATTTTCCACTTTCGTGTAGACACGTCTTAATTTTGGAATTTTATTTTCGTATAGCAATTTTACACCTGGCTGTCATTCCAGCGCTACGAAATTTTCGTCCTTCCTTTTCTCAATCTTACGTAGGTATCTACAGTATTTATTTCTTGATTTTAATCGAAATCTCAACATATATCAGCATCAGATATTAGTACCGTATAAAATTTTCCAGAATCCAACTCGGAACCATGGCCGATTCGAATTCAAATGAGAATACTTGCGTAGTGTGTTTCAAGAACGTTTTGTACTATTCGATTGGCGAATGTGACCATCCCGTATGTTTCGAGTGTTCTACCCGAATGCGGGTCCTGTGCCTGCAAAATGAGTGCCCCATCTGCCGGCAGGACCTTTCCAGGGTAAGTTCCAGTAATATATTTTAGTATGAGTGCAATGTTTCTCACATCCTCTGTCCACAGGGTATCATTGTGCAACATTGTGTATTATAAACACATTCAGCGAATAACTTGCGTTGTTATTACACAATATGCGAATAATTCCACTATCATGTTCTTTTCTATCAATCTTATTGGATGTTGATAAACTTTTAATACATGTCTGTATAAAGGTGTAAAGGTTGAATGGAGTACATTACTAAAATAATGCTAATTTTCTATTAATCTAATTTGCTTTTGCTTACTAGATTTTTAAACCATAACATAAGTGTTAAAATATAGGTAGTATATTATTAACACCAATGTTAACTATCTTTCTATGTCGCTACAGATAATAAAATCATTAAGAAATTTAACTTGTTCTGTGATCTAAGTTATTATGTTTGAGTCGATAATAACTATGAATAATATGTCTAGTAATTAAATTATAAGTATGTTTTCATTTTGTAAGTAGACAATAGACTTATACATGATTTAAGACATTGTTTATATTTGAAAAATTGTATGTGACAGCAGGGTAGTATTGGGCTGGGCTGGTAGAGTAGAATATAAGCACTGTTTATGAAAAGGAATAACCACCATGTACCTGATAAGTTTATTATTTATAATATAGGTAATTACAGATTATATAATTTGTATGAACTATTTAACATATAAAATCAAGTAAAGATCTGAAGGTGTTGAAAAGCATTAAGGCTTTTTTTATACACCAGGGTTGTAAGTAAAGCACAATAATTTACTATGGCCCTGGCCTGGAGGTGGTTTAAAGTCAGTACAAGTGTAACACTACCTAAACCTACCCAGGGAAAAAGAAGTCATTTGCATATACCCCTCAAAAAATCTTATTAGTACACCTTAAATAAAATCCAAACAATAAGAATCTAATTGGTCTAACCAATATTTAGTTACTGAAAATAATAATAACAAGTTAACCAAAACTTTAAATATCTGAGTATTGTACTTGAAAACAAAAAAAAAATGATATTCTAGTAATTTTGGAATTATTGCTTAACTTTGCTTTGGGTAATTTAGATGTTTTTAGCCCGATTAATAAACTGGTAAATATAAGTGATTTAATAATTGTTCTTTATTCCATTAATAAAATATATAAAAAAAAAATACTTTTTATCTAATATTTGTTAAAATAGAAATGATATCAAATATTTTAATCATAAAATGTATACTACAGTTTCTATAAAATATCGAAGAGTGTATTTCTAATAATAGTACACAGAGTTTATTATTAAAAAACAAATTATAAAGGTAGGTACTTAATAAATTTGAATATTTCACAGGTTGTGTTTACGGATTCCATCCAACCCTATAAAGAGCTCCGCAACAGGGTGTTCTCCGACCGCCTCTTTGAGAGGCAGTATAAGATTGGGTTCTGCGATGAAGAAATAAAGCAGGCTTATGAGCGGTTGCTTGAAAACCGCTGCAAGATCTGTGACAAAATACCACCATTTCGTACTTTTAGTATGCTGAGTGATCATATGAGGAAAGTCCATGAGAGATACTTTTGTGATCTCTGTGTTAAGCATTTAAAGGTATAGTATTTTTAATACACACAGTATTTATTTTACTACTAGCTTTTGCTTGCGTCTCAGTTCGCGTAGAATACTTGACTTCTTGCAGATTTTGGATATAAAAACCACCCTATGTCCTTTCTCTAGTTCCAAACTATGTCTGTACCAAATTTCACAGAAATCGGTTTAGTAGTTTAGGAGTGAAGAAAAGACAGACAGAGTTACTTTCGCATTTGTTATATTAGTTTGGATGTTGCTGCTATAACATTGTGCCATAAATAAAGTGATCATAGACTCATATGCCTGATATGAATCATAATAAAAATAAATTCACATATCAATTAAACTAGTGAGACCTTAAAAACATTCAAAGAAAAGTAAAAGAAACATTATCCAATTAAAATTTTGTTCTTAAATGAATAAGTTGCAAAGTCATGCTGCATGCTGATTTATTTGATATATGTTATGAGCAAGAGTTAAAAAATTTCATAACATGAAGAAATTGAATATGACTACGTTGTTTATTTATACTTATTTATTTGTTTTGCTGTTTTCAAATAGATTTCATTATACTAGTGGTACAAGAAGTTGCAAGTTCAATTGCTGGGACAGTTGACTAAAGCAATAAGCAAACCAGGCCCAGTAGGTCTTTTTTTGACATCATCTACTTGGTATTTCAGAACAAAACACATTTTATTACTCTGTATATTCCAGTTACCGCATTAAATGCATTTTAGATTAATGTCATTAGAGCTACCAACCCAATAAGGGGATACAAGAAAATCATATTTTATTATATTTTATTAGCGTAATTTAATTGTGGTAATGTGTTTTATGTATAGTCTACACTACACTCGTCGGTGCTAAGTAGCCACTATCCCTTAAATATTAAATGGAGCAAAGCCAATGGAATGACGTAATTCCCGCCGCAAATTGATAAAGAATATTCACACCAATTATCTAGACAATAAGCTTACAAATTGTATAATATACCTACCTATAATTTTTTTTTATTTACAAAATTACGAGAATGTTTGTTATCAGGTAATATAAATAATAGTTAATTACTTGAATGGTAGTTGTAGATTGATAATGAAGAAATAATGACGTAAGTTTATTTTAATTTGTAGATATTTACTATGGAGAGAAAGTGCTATACCCGCCAAGAGTTGGCTCATCATCGGCGGAGAGGTGATGTGGATGATACATCTCACAGGTAATTAATTATTATCATATTTGATAACCTGATGGTAAGCATTCGACGCCACCCATCGATATCCGCAACCTTTGAGCAGTTGCACGGACTTTGCCAGCCGTTTATGTATGAGGAATTTGAGGATTATTGGAATTGGGGAATGGGTGTAGGACGGGTCACTCACACGGCGGAACGTAAGGCAAGCATTGTTCCCACCAGTTTTCTGTTTGGTCGTGGTATTCAACTCCGGTCAAGCCAACACAAAAAAGATTTTGCTCTACGACATCTGTCCGTTTCAATTTCCACCCTTGCAGATAACGCCCAATCCCTAAATCTCCGAACCCCGTGTCCTTTACAGGCCGGCAATGCTATCGTAACTCTTTCGGTGTCACAAGTGTCTATGGCAGGCGCCGATTGCTTACCATCGGGTAATCCGTGTGCTCGTTTTACCGTCCTATCACTTAAAAGAGATCTCTTACTTCATTACTACGGGACTATATGTAACAATAATAAAAATATAGTAAAATTTATTTTACAGTAACCATATTAAATAGATTTACGATCGATATTGTGACCGCGCTATAAACGTAAATCGTTTTATTCCTCTAGAACTAGCACTAGCCGTAAGTTTTCTCTTTTTATACCGTAGCCTACGCTCTAAATTTGTCCTGTAAACACACCCAGATGTCGTGGGTGCGTATCCGTATCACAACCGGAGATAGATCCGGAGCCACAATTTGTGGACCGCACAGAGAGTGGACCGTGCGAAAATCGAACCTGCGACGCCATGCGTCGGGTCGGTGCAACCGTGCAGTCTTTTGAAAGTATTAACTTTATTTGCCTCGTCTTTACAGCCAGTAATTGTTATTATAATTTTCTTACTTAATTGTATGTGTACTACTACTGAGTATAGGTATTTAATGCAATTTTATTGTATTGTGAGCCATTAAAATTCTGGTCTTACAGTAAAAAATTGTGTTTTTGTGAGGGGAAATCAGCAAATGACTTCTCCCGCCCAGGGTGAGGCGAAAGAGAGTGTCAGAGTCTTAACTGAATAAAAACCCCCTGTTGATTCTCCTGCTCTAGATCCTGGCCGCGGTTCCTTATTACGCTTGCCCCGTAATCCTGGCTAAACATCGGCCGTATAGGGCCCCGTCTGTGGAGTACTATATTGGATCTATGAGCACGCGCGAAACGCTACGCGCCATACACTCGGATCTGGTTCTGGGCGCGAGCGATCCCCGGCGGCCGGAGAATCAAGTCAAGTCAAGAAAGCTCCCTCCGGCGCTCCGCCTCCTTTTTTGCGAGCATCACTGCTTCGCAGGCGTCGGGAAGATTGGGAAAGGCCCATCCCTTCCCAATCTTTAAATTGCTGGCTTGGGGAGGAATTGGGCCTTCGGTAACTTCACCCACACGACGAAACACAGCGCTGTAGTTGTTTCACGCCGGTGTTCTGTGAGGCCGTGGTATCACTCCGGTCGAGCCGACCCATTCGTGCCGAAGCTTAACTCTCCCACACTTGCATTATAGGTGACAGTAGTAGTGTATTAACAACATTAAAACAACAAGGACATGAAATTATGAGTATTTACAAGTTTTCCCGAATAGACAACACATTACTCTTATCATAGTAATAAAAGATAAAAGCTTTGTTCAGTCAATACGGCTATCAGTGAAAACAAAATCTAATTATAATAGGACAATACATGTTGCATAGTTGTGGCACTACCTATCATGCTAGAGACCACCTTTCATTAATATGTTAACAATGTGGGGCAAAGGAATGAATTCTGATTGCAACTATGTAAGTGTCGCCTTATTGTGGCGGAGTATGAGTAACTTATAAGTATACTAGTTGTTACCCGCGGCGTCGCTCCCGTCATTTGACTACCTACCCCACCCTGCCTACTCTACTCTACCTACTCTACCTACCCTACTCTACCGACCCTACTCTACTTACCCTACTCTACCTACCCTACTCTTCCTACCCTACACTACCTACCCTACTCTACCTACCCTACTCTATCTACCCTATTCTACCTAACCTACTCTATCTACCCTACTCTACCTAACCTACTCTACCTACTCTATCCTATCCTATCCTATGTCCTTCTCCTGGCTCTAAACTACCTCCCTGCCAATTTTCAGCTAAATCGGTTCAGCCGTTCTTGAGTTATAAGTTGTGTAACTAACACGACTTACTTTTATATATTTATATATATAGATAAAACACGCATTTTTTTTTTCATATGGGAATCTGTTCTGTTAAGGCTAACATTTTTCCTATTTCTAGCATTAACTGCGATTTTGTATTCACGGTTCGAATATACTGCAAGATAAACTAAACTAAAGACTACCATATAATAAAACCAATAATTAGTTTTAGCAATTCTTCGAAAGGTTTCAGGCCAAAGCTATATAAGCTTCTTGTTCAACATCCCAAAATGCATTCACAAAAATATGAACGTTCTACATTACATAAAACACTGTGAAACAAGAAATCACGAAACGGACTTCTAACTACCAGAAAAAATTATCAACGCATGCTTGATTGCTGTGCTAAGCAGGATAGACTATTTTTTTATATAGAGATAATTAGCTGCTTTAAGTGTGGGAGAGCCAAGCTTCAGCACGAATGGGTCGGCTCGACCGGAGTTATACCACGGCCTCACTGAATACCGACGTGAAACAACCACAGCGTTGTGTTTCGCCGTGTGAGTGAGGTTACCGGAGGCTCAATCCTTTCCCTCCCACGATCCCTCTCAATCCCTAAATCTCCAAAACCCTAATCCCTAAAAGGTCGGCAACGCACTCGTAACTCCTCCGTTGCGGGTGTCCATGGGCGGCGCTGATTACTTACCATCCGGTAATCCTTCTGCTCGTTTGCCGTCCTAATTACATAAAAAAAACCAATTTAGTCCCTTCAGGTAAATTATGAATTGAAATAAAATGAAATTTCTTTCAACAGGGGACATCCTCTCTGCGAGTTTTGCGAGGAACGTTTTATGGATGCTGATGAATTATACCGGCATTTGCGTAAGGAACATCTGTACTGCCATCTATGTGACGCTGACGGGCGAAATCTTTACTATGCGTCCCATTCGGCGCTTGCGCATCACTTTAGGACTGACCATTACCTTTGTGAGGAAGGAGAGTGCGCCGGGCAACATTTGACTGCCGTCTTTAGAAGTGAAATTGATCTTAAAGGTACGTTTCAGGACAAATCCACTTAAAATTTTGGTCCTTTTGTTCGAAAAAACAACTGCAGGATGAACCTGCGTGGTCTCAGAAATTTATACTTTTTTTAGCCTGTACTTCAAAAGTAACCTTCTGAGTTTGTTTCGACATTTCTTTTTATATTATTCGTTTGACAGGAAATTTTTAAAGACCTTTTTAGTTTTTTAATTATTTATTACATTAATTAAGGAATTTTAAAAGATTGGATAATTGGGTAGTGTCCTAGGTCAAAAATAAATTGGACGTTTTAATACAATAAAATATTGAAAAATAACTATACTTTTGTTCATCGATCGATACACTAAGTTTTAGATTTTTTTAGCTCATTATTCAGAAATAAGTAAGCTATTTGACGCAAAACTGTTATGACGTCATACCTCAGTTTTTCATACAAATTTCATAGACAAGTACCATTTTTGACATTTGGATAAAAGTATTGAATTTGACTAGTTGGAAACTACCGTATTGGTACATAAGGAAGCAACTATCGCTTTTACAAGCTGTAATAAATACAACTCGACACACGGGGTGGAATGATAGATGAACTGCTGGGCTGGTTGAATTTAGAATTGCTTGAATGTAATTATAAATAATTGTTTAACTGACTTGGGTCGCGATCGCCAGCGCACAAGGCGACGGTGCACGGGCGAGGCATGCCGCGCGGCGCGGCCCGCCAGGCGCGCACTCTAGAGCTACAGTTCAACATCACACCGCACCCCGTCGTGCAGAGGACGCCCAGGTACTAAGCCTTGAACCTCAACAAACTAAGCCTACAATACGCCTCTTGCAACATTCGCATCGGCTGCTAGATGTACAATGCTAAAGGAACGCCTTATTTTTAAGGAGAGGGGGTGTAATTTGGGGGTTTCGTTATCACCAGTTTCAGTATGGTCAGGATGCTCTGTTCATACCTTTGATTAATTAACAGAATTAATGGTTTTTTAGTCACGTTAGATTGCTTTCAACATATATGTGTTCTTCGTCATTTTCACTTATTATTATTATTTTAAAGATGAAGGGATAATGACTTGTCATACAGCGACGGTAGTTGAAATTGAACTTAATAGCACTTAATTTTATAGGTTATATTCCTAAACCATGCAGTTGATATTGTAGGGACAGAGACAGAGACAACCGAGACCGGCAAGAGCCTGTGCCAGCCCCGGCCCCTCCTCCGACGATGACTCAGGCCAGCATCGACACGGGGAGCGTGGAGCAGTTCCCTCGACTGTCGGCCGCCCCGCCGGCTCCTGGACTCGTTCTGTCCGCTCCCACACGCGCTTATAAAAGTAAGTTGTAAAGAAAAGCACGCCTATTGACTATTAATCAGGGATGTTAGGGAGCTCCGTAACCGAGTCCGAAATAAAAGTTTCGGATAGTATTGGATATGGGCGGAGCCTAATTGAGACAAGTTGTTTGTATTCTTCTTTTCCCTTAAAATTTTAATATCTATAACCGAAATTATTCGAAACAAAAAACGAGCAAATATATTTATTTTCATTTTACAAAATGCAATAATAAAATTGTTTGTTCATTTTCAGGTGCAGATGGCTTGCTGCGTAACGACAAGAATTTCCCAGCGCTAGACGGTTCGGGCCCCTCGCGTGCCCCGAGGCCCGTCGCCCCGACGCCTACCACTGTGGCTGCTACCATCGTTAGAAATAGTAAGTGTAATAATATATAATAAAATAAATAACGGTTTATATACTTTATAAGTTTTATAACATGAAGGTCAATATCAGGAATTATACGTCGTAGATTAATAGAAAATAACTTATATAACGCACCTATAGCTTGCTCAACTATTTAATAATTATTAGTTAAGTTTTCGAAATAAAAGAGCCACTTACAACAAACTAATATGTCTTTATCGTACTCAATTAAGAAATTAAGTGGTAAACTATTATTATTAGAAATAGTAATGACCATCCCGCATGTGATACAAAATCGAATCTCGAAATCTTCAAAAAAAATCCTAATATCTATTAAAGTTTAAAAATATGATTTGTTAATTTGCAGGCAAGCCCAGCGTATCGATTCAGTTACACAGCCAGCCGGCCAGCGCCAGCAACTTCCGACTGACGCAGACCAGTGGCCATCGTATATCCGTGCCTCCGCAGCAGAAGAAACCGCCGGCCATGATGAATGATGATGATTTTCCCTCACTCGGTATTGCCAGAGATGACCATCCCAGCCTCGGCGCAGCCACCGTACAGGCGCCTAAAGTAAGCGTCCAACACTATACATTTTCGCTGAGAAATTACAATTGTCAAAGATTTGATGTTTACATTCATGTTTTGTTTCTGTTCCCAGGTTGCTCTAATCAATAGCCAAGAGATGCAAGCACTTAAACATAACCACGTCCAATCCCATCCAAAGAAAGCTCAACTAAGTTCGGAAGCGTTCCCCGCTCTCTCGTCCACCGCCGCGCCCGTGGCCCCGCCGCAGTGGATCACTGTGTCCAAGTCCAAAGACAAGCAGAAGCCGAGCAAGCCCGAGCCGCCCCCGCAGCCGCGCGAGCCTAGCTTCAACCCTGTCGCGGACTTCCCCACGCTGCCCGTCAATACATCCAAGTCTAAGAAGAAGCAACAACCGCCGCCACAGCCGACGCAACAACCGCCACCATCTCAAAATACAAACAACGATAACACTAAGCTTAGCAAAAAGGAGAAAAAGAAACAAAATAGTAAAAAAGAAAATTTACTGGACACCTACAATGTCAACGGTACCAACGATAAGAAGCTGCTGAGAGAATCGTACGCTTCCGTCAATGCTAACAATAACATTCAACCTGCAGAAGATAAAAAGGTTAAGACCGTGGATACAGTACCCAGCGGTACAGTCAATCCGGAGCGGAATAGGAATGGGGGCAACGGAGATTTTAGTTTAGCTGACAAGGACTACCCGCCGCTTAACTCTCGAAGCGAGAACTGTATACCGAGCAAGAAGGTGATGAACGGTAGCGTGCCGCCGGGATTCAAGCCGCGCCCCGCCTGCGACGGCATGACGTTCACCAACTCCGCGGGGCAGACGTTCAGCGCGCCTCTACACACGTACATCCCGCCGCCCAACTTCGAGCACAGGAACCGGGCGCTCGTCAAGAAATTCGCGGTGGCGCTAGGCGGAGACGCTGCCGTGGAGGACTTCAAAGTGGCCTCGCGCGCCTTCCGGGACAGTTCCATCAGTGCGGAGCAGTTCCACGCTCACTGCCGCGCGGCGCTGGGTGCGCAGTTCGAGGCCGTGTTCCCCGAGCTGGTGGCGCTGCTGCCCGACATCGCCAAGCAGCAGGAGCTGGTGGTGGCGCGCGCGCCTGCGGCCGGTCTGGCGCCCTGCGCCGTCTGCGGACAGCTACTGGCCCCCGCCGACGCGGCGCCCCACCACGCGCATCACTGGCCCGCGCTGGCCGCGCCGCGCTAGCCGCGCCCCGCGACCTCTGCGTGTCAATCGGTTTGCAACTAGTGATTGATTTCAGTAATGTTAAACATTACTCAGGACGACAAACATCGACAGAGTTATAAAGACTATACCTCGAAGTTCAATGTTTACATTTGGATTAATTTGTACCTATTTTTGTACATACATACCTAGTTACTTCATAGACGATTGTTCCACGCGACGTAGTAGATCGTTGTACCCGTACTCAGTACAGTATCGTATCGCTAGCCTGACTATTCCTTTGACTGTGTAGTATTATGTGATCATACTAAATCTACAGTAGCGCAATTAAACACACATGTGATTTGTAAAATGTAAATGTTATGATGTAAAATATTATTTCAAAGTTTATTATATTTTTGTACGTTAAATAGAACAGTTTCTTGAGTTTTGTGTAAAATATTTTTGTTGATTATTGTTAGTGTTTCATTGCGAACCCTGTGCTAATAAATTATCTTTGAAATTATCGGTCCATCCTGATATATTTAAAATATTTGTGTATGTAATACATTTATTTACATTGTATACATACAATGTTAAAATTTTATAATGACGTAAATGTACATACTCTTATACATAATTAATTATATATTGAACTGGAAACTTTGTTTGATAAACCATAGCTCTCTTCCTAGCAGCAAATTAATAAGGATGTTTTGACTCAGTTATAAAAGATCTCAACTTACAAGTTACAGTAAAGTTAACATAACGAATTTATACTAGAAAAATGATATCTGTTTTATATAATAAACAGAATTACAAGCAAACGTATTTATTTCGTGTCGCCCGACCGTTTTTAGTCTGAAAACGAGGACCAAAACTTTTATATGTATATAAATAGAAGAGAACAGACATTGCCACTCCTAATAAAAAAAAAATGTGAATGTGGGAAATAAAAATGGGGACCACTTTAATAAAAAGCTCGGTATTTTTAACCGACTTCAAAAAAGCAGGAGGTTCTCAATTCGACCGTATATAATAATATGCTTTTTTATGTTTGTTCGCCGATATCTCCATTATTTATGAACCGATTTTGATAATTCTTTTTTATTGGAAAGGAGATAGTCCCAGAATGGTCCCATGATAAGAAAATCAGGATCTGATGATGGAAGACCAGAGAAATCGAGGGGATCTTTCAAAAATTGAAGGGGCGAGTGGTACTTTTGCATATGATTTTAGTAGGCTATTGACAAATTTACAACTTGCTAATGTTCGAACCCGATCTGATGATGGAACCGGAAGACAGTCGAAGGATCTCCTTGACTATTTGGAGTAGTTGCCTTGTGTTTGGGCTTGAATGATTCGTATTGGTGAGCACTTTGCACCAAGATTGGTCGTGACTGTCATTAAGGGTCTGATGATGAGAACGATGGACAGCTCAGGGAACTCCTGAACGAGTTACAGTAACTACCTCGTTTTTGGACTTAATTCATTTATATTGATGAGAACTTTGCACCTATATGGATTATGTATAATGAAGGTCTGCAGTATACCTGATAATGGAGGTCATTGACATTCGAGGGAATTCCTCAACGATTTACGGCACTGAAAGCTGACTAACTCAGGACTGCCATTACCGTGATTTTCGGTCTAAAGTAGCCGTTGTCTTCTCTTTTAAGAAGCATCCTAGCTTTTTCTGCCTATCACTTAAAAAGGTGAAATAAAATCATTTAAAAACAAAAAAAAACGACTTCAAAAAGTAAACTAAAAAGCAAAAAATTAATTTAATTTGTTCAAAGTAACGCATATTTTCATTTAGTTAAATAGAAAATAATATTTAATAACTACTTATTTTATAATTTTGAGGTCGGTGCCAAGGAAATGCACCAAATGCAAATGCAAGTAAATGCACATATCAAACAACAACAGTAGGTATTAGTAATACCTAGGGACATTCGGTACCTACTAATCATCAAATTAGCAAGAGGTATGTAGGTAATAACTTTACACTGTTATACATAGTTTTACTTGGCGCCGACTTTAAGATTATAAAATAGTTCATAAATATTATTTTCATTTAATTCAATTAAAATATGTATTACTTTGAACAAATTAAATTTATTTTTTTCTTTTTAGTTTACTTTTTGAAGTCGGTTTTTTTTTGTTAAAAATGATTTTATTTCAAGTTCGGTTTCGTTGCGCGCTCCCACTGTAATGGCGCCCGGCCCACCACCAGCCCTTCTGTAGCAATCACGATTCACAAGGATATAAATAAAATCTTTGTGGGGCAGTATCAATATTTCTAGATTTAAAACCCTCCTACCGCAAACGACATAACTTATGATCGTTACATGCTTGCGTCTATAATATGGGGATTTACCTTGTAGTCGTACCTAATATTATGTTTGATAGCTCACATGGCTTGTGGAAATGTAGTAATTGATAAGATTTGACAGGTCGCGTGGATATTTAGACATTGAAGCAAGATAATTTAAGTACATATGGCATAATACGAGATCAGTTAGATTGCAGAGATGATGCGATAAGTGATGCCTAGGTATAAATATGATTAGGAGTCTTGGTGGTCCCGTAATACCAAATAGTTACATAATGAAGCTACTCGTGTTGGTGTTGTGGTAAGTTCTTATTTTTTTAAATAATATTCTGAACTATTTACTAAGTTTTTCATCAGTGATTTACCCGCCTAGCTAAAAAGCAATGGGGACTGATGCGGGGATTGAGTGTAAAATAAGTAACTTAACGGCAGAATCTAACTCTTGTGCAAATGTAGTAATTATTGAAGGTGGTTTAGGTGGGCTTATTTGTTTTTTGAAATCAAATGGTTTTTCTCGTTTAAGGTGAGGCGAGAGTGTCAGACTCATACTGAATAAAATCTCCCTGTTCTTTCGCCTGCTTTAAGCCGAGACCGCGGTACTTGTACCAAATTGCGCTTGTGCTGCAACAACGGCTGAAATCGGCCCTGTAGTTCCCCGTCTGTGATGGTCTATTGGCTCTTTGAGGCGCGCGCGGAACGCAACGTGCCGAACATTCAAGTCGGGTTAAACTCTTGCTCGCCGTTTGCAGACCCGTGCTTACAGTAGCCGGAGATCGTCGCTTAATGCCGGAGGATAGCTTTCTCATGCGTTCCGCCTCCTTCTTTGCGAGCATCATTGCTTCGCAGAGAAATAAAACGACTTCCTAGTTCCTCGCGCTCCGCACCATGACCTCGACTTACGTCGTCGCCCGTCGATCGCTTCCCAGAGGACACGGGCGTTGCCCAGCCCAAGCAGAGCTCCGCTGTGGCTGAAGGTCGCATTGGTTCGGAATTACCGCCGGCGAAAAAACATTCAAAAGCTTTCCTGTGCATGTTCGGATGTTTCACGAAAATCGCACAGTCGATGACTGCTCGGAGTCTCGGAGCACTTTCCGTGGTGTAGGCGATAGGGAACACAGTTAGGCTACATACCTATACATGTAGCATTTTGTTCGTAAGAGGCCATTTATTATTTAGGCATTAAGTATAATATTATTTAAATATTTAATATTCATATAAGAACGTAATATTACATTCATTTCTTTTTGTGCATAGCTCTGCAGTAGCGCTAACATGTGGCGAGGTGAGGCAAGGCAGAAAGTTCCCAGATGACTTCGTCTTCGGAGTGGCTACCGCTAGTTATCAAATCGAGGGAGCATGGGATGAAGATGGTAGGTGTTGCCAGCAGGTTAACTTACTCAATTCTGTCAATTTTTTCATAGGATTTTTGATTTGGCATCAAATTAGTAGTTTAAAATCTCATAAAGATATAGGTAGCCTGTTTACCTGCTAATAGGAATTTCGAGACATTATGGCGATATATTAAGTGCTATTTTATTTTAGGTAAAGGAGAAAACATCTGGGATTATTTAGTGCACACCAATCCAGATGCAATTGCTGACCGCAGCACTGGCGACGTAGCGTGTGACTCTTACCACAAGTATAAGCGTGATGTAGAGATGCTCCGAGAGTTGGGTGTCGGCTCCTATCGGTTTTCTTTGTCGTGGTCAAGAATATTACCCAGCGGTTTTGCAAACCACGTCAACGAAGCTGGCATACAGTATTACAATAACCTTATCGACGAATTACTTAAATACAACATCGATCCAATAATCACATTGTACCATTGGGATTTGCCTCAAAAACTCCAGGAGCTGGGCGGCTGGCTGAACCCTCTCGTTGGTGACTGGTTTGAGGATTATGCTCGGGTAGTGTATGAGCACTTTAGCGATAGAGTGAAGAGTTTCATTACAATCAACGAGCCCGCACAAGTTTGTTACGAAGGCTACGGGACTGATACAAAGGCTCCATTGTTGAATGCAACAGGTATCGGCGAGTACATATGCGCTAGAAACATTGCCCTCGCCCACGCTAAAGCTTACCACCTATATAACAACGTATACAAGCCGAAATACGGCGGAGAATGTGGTTACACCTTCGCAGTAGATTCTACAGCCCCTCTCACGGATTCTGAAGAAGATAAATATGCCGTGGAATTATTAACTCAACAGCAGGTTTGTGGCTCGACGAATATTTGAGACGCTCTACTTTTTGTTGATCTTTTATTACTTTAGAATTAGCTTTGAATGATTAAATTTTAAATAATTTTCAGTGGGCAATATACAGCGACCCTGTATTTTCTAAAGACGGGGGATTTCCCAAAGAGCTTTTGGAGTTAGTTGCTAAAAAGAGTGCAGCGCAGGGCTTCCCGAGATCTAGACTAATCGACTTTACTGAAGAAGAGAAGGCGTACATCCGTGGCACTAGTGACTTTTTTGGCGTCAACCATTACAGTGGATCCCTTGCCTCACCCTCTCTGTATACGTCACAGTATGCTGTGCCATCATCTATGGACGATATTGAAGTTGGGCAGACGGTGTCTGATGACTGGCTTCAGGCTGCCTCTTCATGGTTCCAAGTAGGTATATCTACTTAGGTATTACTTAGACAAAATAATTATAATACATGTTTTTTTTATGTAATAAGTCGGCAAACGAGCAGACGGATTACCTGATGGTAAGCAGTTACGAGTGCGTTGCCGACCTTTTAAGGATTAGGGATTTGGAGATTTAGGGATTGGGGAAGGGTCCGGGAAGGGGAAGGATTGGGCCTCCGCTAACCTCACTCACACGGCGATCATATGTCAATTATTCGCTTTATAATTTTCGACTTTATTGGCAATCGATATAGTTAAATATGCATTAGTTTGTCGGCTGGGATTAGGTTGAACAGCATCTGTTGGTATCTATGTATCAACGATTTATACTTATCAAATCTAGTTCCACTCGGTTAAGATTAGGTAGGTAGGTATGCATTCTCCAGCAGACGGAAAAATTTATGTTTTGGCATAAGTGATCAAGAAAAGATTACCTACTTACTATGATGATAAATCTGATAATGAATTGTGAGAAAAGTAATCATTGTTGTATGACACGCACTACACTAGGTACCTAGAGCCACATTATGTTTAAATGTCAGATTTGAATCCCATAATTAGCTGAACTCTAATAACAAATATAAATTTTAAATACCGGTTTGTTAAACGAACATGAGAAACAAACTACTTATTCCCGCCAACGAAACTTAGTTGTAACGAAATATTAATTTTATCCACAGAAAATGCCAAACAGTGTTTACATCACGATGAAACTAATTCAGAATAGATATGGGGACGTTCCTATCTACATTACGGAGAACGGCTGGTCCTCGTACGGCGGCATCGATGATGAGGACCGAGTCGACTACTATAGATCTGCTTTGGAGAGCGCACTCGACGCTTTGGATGAGGGAATCAACCTTAAGGGCTACTACGCATGGAGTCTTATGGATAACTTCGAATGGCTGGCTGGATATACGTGAGTGACTACTTTTTTTTTCTAATATGTATGTCCAGAAATTGTTTGCTCTAAATTTTAAAATTTACAATAATCTGTATAGAATTTTGCTTAACCCTTTAGTTGTTCTCGAAAATGTAATAAAACCTATTTTGTTATAGTCCCAATTAGTACTATATCTGATATTTTCATTGTTTGCAGGGAACGTTTCGGTTTATACCAAGTGGATTACGATGATCCCGAGCGCACTCGTACACCAAGAAAGTCTGCTTTTGTCTACAAACACATTATTAAGACGCGCATGGTCGACCCTGACTACGAACCCGAGAGCAATGTCATGACAATTGATGAGGGACATTGATTGATTGAACAATTCGAAAATAAATGAGACATACTAATTGAATGATGTATATAATTTGAACCTTTAAAAACAAATCCTGGTACATAGTAAAACCAATGAAAATGTATAAATAAATCTATGTTCACTTGTCACTTTTACCCCATCCCAAGAATCCTTTGACCAGCCCCGTGAGGCCTGCGCCCTGCTTCTTGCTATCCGCTGCACCAGTTTTATCGTCCAGGTTCGGGAACTCAACAAAGTTGCACGCCAAGTCAAAGAACAATGGCTTGCAAGGAATGGCTTCCATAGACGGTGGCATTTTGTACACGTTAGGGTTCTTTGTAAGAACTTGAGTGTCCTCCCTGTACTCGTCCAAACGATCGACTAGAGGCTTCTTGTCCTTGTAAGACTTGCCACTCGCGTACTTCATGTCCTCGTCTTGATCGTCATCATCTTCTAGTACTGAGTCAGCGTGCACTTCAAACTTACAGCTTTCGATATCTTTCTTCAACATTTGCAACTTTTCGACCAGGCGTTTGTCATCAAGTTTGGTGCTGAGGGACTCGGCCGAGTAGTTGCTGCATCTCTCCAACATAGCGAGAGCTTCCCTGAAGCGACGGAGCCCGGTGAGCACCTGCGCGATGTAGTAGCAGCGGAAGGCGCGGTACGCTTTCGTCAAAGTCTCAATTTCCTGTTGGTACGCCGCGTCGCTTTCAAATCCAGGCAGCTGCTGCAACTCGGTCAAGTTCTGCAAGATAATTTCGTAAAGTCTCGTCAAGTCCTGGGGCCGGACCTTCTTGCCGTCGATCTGTATGTTGTTCTTGCGAGCTTCTTCAGCCTGCTGGACCAGCAAGTTGTTCCTGTCGATAGTGCGCATCAAGCGCAGGTACATCAAGTACGACAGCAAGTAGTTGATGCCAGACATCTGGATCTCGGAAGCAGACTTCAGCTTTGGATCGCTTTTAATTTCATCCTTGATGGCAGATATAGCGTCTTTGCAATCCATCAAAATATTTTCCAGAATATCAATCTTGGCCTGGACAGAGTCTGCGTTGGCGACGGACTTGTCAAGGTCTTGTAATGCAATGAGGAAGAGCCGCACTTTCTCGGGCTTCACAGTCACTTTGCGGCCGCGCCATTCCACTTCATGCATCACACCAGAACGAGACTCCCTGTAAAAGATCATGATAGTCACATCTCCAAAATAAAGCTGATACATACCTATTATAAATCTTATTACTTATCTAATAAGTACTAACTTAGCTTGTGCCATGAGTGAGTCCAAGTTCTCGATGAGTCCCTGGCCACGCATAGCCACGAGGTCGCCGGCCGCAGACTCGTCACCGATATTGTACGCGCAGTAACGAAGGCTAGGCTTCAGTTCTTCCACCTGGATATAAAGCCATCTTTCATTAGAAACGAAGAAGTTTACACTACGTTTTTTGTTTTATGAGTTAAGTCGACAAACGAACATACGATTCACCTGCTGGTAAGCAATCAACACTGCCCATGGACACACGCAGCACGCTCTTCTTCAATCCCAAATCGAACTTTTGGTTGTAGAATAAGTATTTGTTTCTTTTCATCACCCATTATTATATTTGGTGTCAATATTATTATTATCAGAATACGATAAAACAATTTGGGGATTGTAATAAAAACATAGTTGATACCTTTTGCTTGTAAGGCAAGCGTTCATCTTCTGGCATTGCAGCGCAGAGTTTCTCAAGCACAAGTTGCGCGCGGTGCAGCGCCTCCGCGGCGGGGCGCCACTGCTGCAGCTCCACCAGTAGCGCGCCGCCCAACCAAGCAGCGTACGCGCCCGCCTCCAGCTGCGTGCGCGCGTCACAAACTCCACTTTGCTACAGGCGTAACAGAGTTCATAATTAATTGCCGATTATAACGGTGACGTCTGAGAATTTTAACTATTGAAAAAACCAATTATTCCTTCCGTAATTCCTTGCTCTACGATCAAGGTGGGAAAGAATTGCATAATTTCTAACTGTAATTGATTAAAATACATTTATATTTAAGTAATTATGAGCCGAAGTTTAACTTTACCTCACACAACTGCAGAAGTGTCTGAGCATGGGCATATGCCTTCTTAAGCCTCGAAACTAGATGGAACTTCTTCCTTGGCTCAGTATTGGCTTCTTGCCTTAGCTGCATGGCATGTGCCCAAGCTCTCTCCGCCTGAAGTAAGGGTACGCAGAGGAGACGGCTCTCAGCTGATGTAGCCGTCAAGTGCACGGTAGTAACGTCTCGGCGACGGTAGTGACGCCTATCACCCTGTAGAACGTAGGTGAATGATAGTAATTATGTCATGTTTTTCCTTTAACATATCACTAATCAACTTGAGTATATTTTTCCGATATGATTGATTGTACTTGATTGACATGTTAATAGATTTGGCTACTAGAGGTTAAATTTGAAGAAAATTTCTTATTATAAAACCTAATGCCACATTTTTATTTAGAAGTATAAGCTATAGTAAATAGTTTATATAATGGTAAAAAAACACAGACCTGTGGTATTTTGAGTACTTTACGCAGTCTCCTAAGGCGCCTTGAACAATATCCTCTGTAACGCTGGTAATCACCGTGGCGAAGACCATGTTGTTGTTGGGCATCCTTAGTTATGCGGAATACTGATTAGCTAGTTCAAGAAACATTATTTAATACACACATAGAAGATCCAAAATCATCAACACAGGCTTTAAATAGTCTCACAATAATATTTCATTCCATGTTACAGACTGGGTTGGTTTTCACCCACAAACACACATTTTTTTACATTATATAAACATGCAGCATACTTCACTTAAAAAATGATTAGCATATAATAATGACTGGTATATGTAGCAGATAAATACATTTTGTTACGAAAATATAAAGTTCTTAGAAGCCTGCAGCTTGGGCAAAAATAAAGGTAAGCTTTTCACTGAATACAATGATTAGTTCATATATATATTAGTCTTACTTTGAATTAGAATTTTATCATTAAAACAAGGTTTTAAACAAAAGCTTGAAGAGTACTATTAAGCCTCAGATATTAACTAAGTACTAAGATACTGAAGGAGTGTGATACTACGTAGGTACACTCCTTCACAGAGTAGCTCTTGGAAGAAAAATTCATAAAGATATATTATAGGATATTAGTAAAAACACACTTGGCAGAACACATATTTATTACTTGACGTTCTCTTGTCAACTCAAAAAAAAGAAAATTCAAAATACTATCATAAAATGCATAGAGATTAAAAAAAGGTCGCAATACTCTTGCTCTAACACTCCTCCTTAATCTCATGCATATGATATGTACACACACATCTTTACTTTATACACGCAATCCCATACCATTCACACACCACTCATACTTGCCTCTGGGGAGAGCCTTGGTCAGAGCATCTGCTACCATCTTATCTGTTTCCCGATACTCCAATTTTATAGCTCCCGACTCAACAGCATTGCGTATAAAATGATATCTCACATCAACATGTTTTGTACGTTGGTGATGTACAGGATTATTGGCTATAGCAATTGCTGACTGGCTGTCTGAGAAAATCCGAATTGTTTCTTCCTGTTTACCAGTCATCTCTGCAATCAGCCTTTTGAGAAAGACAGCTTCTTTTGCAGCTTCTGATAGCGACACGTATTCTGCTTCGGCTGTGCTCATAGCCACCGTTCGTTGTTTCGTGCTTTGCCAAGAAACTGCACCTCCTTGAATAAGGAACACGGAACCTGAATATGAACGTCGATCAGCGTCTCCTGCATAATCAGCATCCGCGTAACCAACAACAACTTCTGGGTATTTTTGTTTGTTGTATGTCAACCCAAGCGTCTTGCTTCCTTTCAGGTAACGGAGGATTCGCTTTGCTACAATCCAATGTTGTTCCTCATAGCATTCATTGAACTGGCTAAGATAATTAACCACATGAGCAATGTCAGGCCTTGTACATACTGCTACATACATGAGCGAACCTATCAGTGCTCGATATGGAATTCTCTCATCTGGTCTCCTTCCATGTGTAGGCTTCTCTAGCCGTTGACCGGGTACTGCTGGTGTAACTACTGGTTTGCAGTCTTCCATATTAAATGCCTTCAGGAGTCCATCAATATACTTCTCCTGATGCAGTTTAATTTTGTTGACATCTTGAACAATATTAATTCCCAGCATTAACTCAGCTTTGCCGAGATCTTTCATATCAAATCTAGACTTCAACTCTTCTTTGAATTTGAACATCTCTTGCTTATTGTTCCAAAATATCAAAATGTCATCTACATACACAGCAATAATCATTATGTTTCCATTCTGTGACCGGGTGTAAACGCATGGCTCATTTTCAGATCTTCTGAACTTCAGTCTTATAAATTCAGAGTGAAGCTTTGCGTTCCACGCTCGTGGCGCTTGTTTCAGTCCATACAAAGATTTTTTTAGAAGACAGACATAATTCTCCTTGCCCTTTACCTCGAACCCCTCTGGTTGCTTCATATAGACGATTTCATTTAAGTCTCCATTCAAAAATGCCGTTTTAACGTCCATTTGATCTATGCCTAACTCTAAACGGGCGGCTAAGGCTATTAAGACTCTTAATGAGCTATGTCTGACTACAGGCGAAAAAGTTTCAAAGTAGTCGACTCCTCTCCGTTGGCTGAATCCTCTTGCTACAAGTCGTGCCTTATAACGAGTCTTTCCCCCCGCCTCTTCTTTAATTCGAAATAACCATTTCGAATCAACAATGTTGCACGACTTTGGCTGCTTCACCAACGTCCAAGTTTTATTCTTCTCGAGGGCTCTCAGCTCCTCCTCAATTGCGGCTTTCCATTTGTCTCCATCTTCTCTAGATAATGCATCCTGAACAGTTAAAGGGTCTGGCGATGCCTTGACTGCTTGGTAAGTTACAAAATCTGGATATGCTTTTGGTATTCTTTCTCGAAGCGGATATCTTCTATCTGATGGCCCATTGTCATTTACTGGTAGCTCTCTACCTTCTTCTACAAGACCATCCTCAGGATCTGCTTCATTCCCCTCGTCAGATGATTCCCAAACCTCATCTTCAACCTCAACATTCTCAAGAGCTGGATTTCCAGATTCTTCAGGAATTTCTGGCTCTTCATGATGAGTTGAAACTCTATCATACTCAACCGTAACATCCGTCAGCGGTAGCGGGACGGCTTGATTAACGGGAGCACGTAGCTGTACTTTTGAGTTTTCAAAAAATATAACATCTCTACCTCTGTGCAACACTCCTGTCGTAGGGTTAATAAGGCGATAACCGTTTTCGCCATATCCAACATGGACTAACTCTGTGCCCTTAGGATCCCATTTTGTGCGCTTCTGATCTGGAACATGAAGATAAGCTTTACATCCAAACACTCTGAGGTGGCTTAAGTTCACTTTTCTTCCAGTCCAAGCTTCTTCGGGCGTTTTGTTTCTCAAGGCTTTAGTTGGAGACCTATTTTTTTAAATACACGGCGGTGTTGACTGCCTCTGCCCACAATTTTCTGCCTAAACCAGCTTCTTCTAACATTGTCCTGGCTTTTTCAGTGATAGTTCTGTTAGCTCGCTCAGCAACTCCGTTTTGTTCGGGTGTATACTCTATTGTCAGTTGGTGACAGATCCCTTTTGCTTTACAGAACTCATCCATACGCTTATTGACAAACTCTTTGCCATTATCAGATCTGATAATTTTAAATTTCTTTCCAGTTTGACGTTCAGTAAGTTTTACGAATTCGGCAAACTTCTCAAAGACCTCTCCTTTACTTTTCAAGAAATATACAAATGTTTTTCTAGTGAAATCATCAATGAATGTGAGAAAATATCGTGAGCCTCCGTACGACTTCTCTCTCATGGGTCCGCACACGTCTGTGTGGACTAACCCTAAGACCTCACTTGCCCTAGTGGCACCAGTTTTCTTGAAAGGGTTCTTGGTCTGTTTTCCTACTGCACACGCTTCGCACTCTAGCTTAGAAGCAGTATTAGAAAAACTTACCCCATCTGCCATTTTGTTTTTAAGTAACATTAGGTTCCGTACCCCTAGATGTCCCATTCGCCTATGCCACAATATTATTTCGTCAGCAGCGGTTGAAGCTAGACCTACTTCCTGTGAACAATACTGTATTTTATAGACACCGTTATTTGCAGTACCTTCATACAAGGTCTCCCCGGAAACCTTACATCCATCTGCTTTGATTATCTTAAAGCCAGATTTCTCAAATACAACTACAAGGTTTTTATTTACAATTGTGCTAACACTGAGTAAATTTGTAGCTAAGTTAGGTACATACAAAACATTATTAATTGAGACGTCCATATCCTCGTTGACTACATTACCAATTGCTTCACCAACCACAGTTTCTCCATTTGCACAAGCTATTACAATTGATTTGTCTA